AGCCTCTAGCCCCAGAGAATTGAATTCTGCTGGCTCCAGGGTGAGGGCGGCTGGGGCAACAATAAGACTTGTCCAGGTGACAAAAATGCTAATGTATGCTCACTGTCTCCACTCCCTCCTCCCCCCCCCTTTACTCTCTTTTTCCTGTCCTTCCTTCCATCGTTTCTTCCTCCTGCCTCACTTTTTTCTCTTACCCACTGTCTCCTTCAGGAGCATCACCCCTCATGACTTTCCTGCTTCTCTTTCGGCCAGCTTCCCTCATCAGTCACAGCTCTCTGAGCAGCGCCTCATAGTCTCAGCTCAACATTTTACCGCCTGTTTTTTTTTTCTCTTTCAGACATTTCAAACTATTGTCACTGTGCCTATATTCTAGGAGAATACCCCCAAAGATAGGAAATGGGACAGAAGTTCTAAAGGGAAAATAATATTAATAACCTAAGATTCTTCCTGAATACTTTTGTGTTCCTCTCGTCTGACCACTTTAAACTGAGAATGTCAAAAAGTGATTATATGTGTGTGTGTACACATATACTTGTCAATGGTCTTTCTATACACACACCCAATCTTTGCCACTTTAATTTCGTCTCAAAATATTTTAGGTGCAAAGAAATATAGTGTTTGCCATGTGTATACTTTTAAAAATGAAACTGATGTGGTATTGCCAAACCCTTTTGTAGGTGGCTGTCACTTTCGGGACTTCGTCCCAGGCTCCCTTTTGTGTCTGTGCACTTAGATTCACTTTCAGGCTCTTGGATTCTGTTGCATGAGACTTCTGGAACATCACCCATTTGCTTTTATATAAGGAGGGTTCCTTCCTTCTTTCTTTCCTTCCTTCCTTCCTTCCTTCCTTCCTTCCTTCCTTCCTTCCTTCCTTCCTTCCTTCCTTCTAGAAGTAGAATCTTTTCCATACAATATGAATTCTGGTTTTAATCCCCACTCCTACCTGGAGATTTTGTCTGGGGATTTTTTTCCCCCTGGTCATCAGCTTTTGATACATCCTGTCCACTGCCTCCCATGCCCTGTCCTGTCTTTATTTGGTCAGTGTTATTCTGCTAACACTGTAAACCAGCATTCCTTCTGTAAGCCTCAGGGCCTGTTAGTCCATGCTCATGGTCCCAGGAGTTTAAACTCTGACCCTTCTGTAATTCCCAGCAAGACTGCTCCTGGCCTCTCCTGTGACCTTAGCTCCCCCACTTTTCCTTCTCTGGGCTCTAATCACAATTTCACTATGAAGGGACTATATCAAGGAGCATATTCTCTTCCCTCAACCCATCAGCTTATTTCTCCAGGTATACACGTGGTTTCCTGTTGCTTCATTTAGGTCTCTGTTCTAATAACATCTTTTTGGAAAGAAGGTCCCTGTGTGACTATCATGGAGACACCAAATTACCCGCTGGCTCTTTATCATAGTATGATATCCCTTTGCAGTATTTAAGTCTAACAACAATTAAAAATACGTGTTTGTTAGATGGGCCAATCAAAAATATCTGAGTTGGCTTTTCTATTCACATCAGCTAAACAGTGTATCATTTACTTTAAATGCCAATTTGATGATGTCAGAGGCTTCCAGAGATACTGCTGCCTTCTCTACCACTCAGAGCACTTCCTTTTATGCCCAAAGTCCCCTCCCCCACTCTCACTCTCACTCTTCCTGAGGCATTGGTCACCTCCCACTATGTAAATTACACGCAAGCTCACTATCCCCTGTGTAAATTCCACGCAAGCTCACATCTATTGTGTTCTTTGCACACCGTCTAGTCCAGTTCTGACACCCTCAGTCCTTTTGCCTCAACTCAGGGTCCCAGGACGATCACTTGTACTTTTCAGCTGTCTGGAGTTTCTATGCTGGTGATGTTCATTCTGAAGTTCAGTGATTTTTTTTTCTTTTTTCTTGTACAGTTGTGAGTTTTTAGAGGTTGTCACTAGCTTTTCCTTTAGCCACTTTTCTTGGGAGCAATCAAGAATGCTTTACAAAGATGAAAATATTCCATCCGCCTGACATCCTAAGTACCAGTTGGATGTGGATTGAAATTGCTTTGGGGAGAAAGAACTGACGGCTGAGAGCTTCGCTAATGCTTCCAGTTTTTTTTTTTTTCTTTTTCTTTTTTCATCTTCTCTTAGATAATGTCGTGTACCTGCTAGTGGTAAGCCATCCAGACTCCTCATCCACTGTGGAGGTGTTTAAATTTCAAGAAGAGGAAAGATCACTTCTGCATCTGAAAACCATCACACATGAACTTCTGCCTAGGTACTGAGGCGCCGTATAGGGACAACTCCCTGAACTGTGAAAGACGGCTTATTCACGTTTAGCTTTTCACCGGGGCCAGGGCAGATTCACCTCTTCTGGTTGTTCTTCTTCAGAATGTTTTGAAACCCTTGGGACCTTACGAGTGGGTTCAGTTCCTTCTTCCCTCATCTACCTCATGCTGGGTGGACACTGTAGCAGGGCTTCTGTGTTCAGTATCTCTATTCAAGCCATTCCATGAAATTTTTTTTTTCAAAAAGTGCATCTTTACAAGACCAATCTCAGAGAGTCCTGTGATTTCCAGACACACACACCCAAAAGGAGATTCCAAACCAAGTGCACCTTAGACATCCTCACACTGCATCTAGTAGTGATGTGTTGTGCACTATTTATGGGAATACTGGGTTCCATATTGGATTCCTGGACCATATAATATATAGGAAAAATAGATATCCAGGGATCTCAATTCTGGTCAACCCAATAAAGTCAACCTTCTTACTTAGCCTATGAAGAATTGGTCTATGGGGCCAGTGACATATTTAAGACAATCTTATCTCCACAAATAACTGTTATAACGTTTGCTATGGTTCTCTAGAATTCTAGCATCTTCTTGTATAGTTTAAGAACAGCATCCACCCACCTTGGTTTTTGTAAATTTATATCTGTGTGTGCTGCTGGCCACTAGCAATGTCTTTGCTTCTAGCATGCACAATTTTTCCTGTGTCTCTCCTTTCCTTCCTCATGTGGCTGGTATAAAGATGAGGAAACTGAGAGTGAACAGCTGTTAAGTTACTGAATAAGGTTTGACTGATCCAGTTATTGTCCAAGTAGGAATCAAGGCCCATGCTCTCTGCACACTCAGGATGAGATCGAGTGGAGAGGATAGGTTAGAGGTAGATTATAAGTAGAAGTTTCTATTTATACAGCAAATGTATTTTAGGGGATGGGGTATAGCTCAGTTGAAAGGGTGCTTTCCCAACATGTACAAAACCCTGAGTTCAATCCCCAACACTACCTAAGTCAGGCAAGGGGGCATGAGTCTGCGGTCTTACCACTGGGAACTCAAGACCATCCTCAGCACTTAAGGATTTTGAGGTCAGTGCCAGGGATACAGGATACTCTCTCTTTCTCTCTCTCTCTCTCTCTCTCTCTCTCTATATATATATATATATATATATATATATATATACACACACACATATATGTATATATAAATTTTTTTTAGTTACCATTTAATATTGGACACTTCAAGTGTTTCCAACTTTACAGGACAGGCATATATACATTTTTTCCTGCGTCAGACGTGAAAATATTGTGTATTGACAGCATATAAGTAACAGAGTGCCACAGTTCACTAGAATTTGTCTCTCTCTACCCAAGGATTAGTCACGCACATTTGTGCCTTTGTATTTTAGGGTTGTTTATGCTATTAATATTTGAATTACTGAATTTGTCATAAGCTAATCATCTTAATAACAACATCGTGGCTATTATTATTGGCCTATTCTGTACTCAAGACACTATGGCAAGGCCTTTGCACTTCCAGTTTCATTTCGTCTTTACCCAACATGCCAAGAAAGAACACTGAGTTTCAGGAAGTAGCTCCAAGTTAGGTGACATGCTGTGGTCCCACATTGTGACCATAGCGGGAAGACCCAGATTCCAACAGTTTACCAAATTTCTAAGCTATTACTCCAAACTGCTTCCATCTGCTCCCTTTCCATGGAGAGCAGCATACTAATTTCTAAAAGCTGCTTTAAAAAGAGAAGTAGAAGCAGCTTGTCACGTTTTGCCCAAAAACCTGCACAGACTCATCCTAACTCCACGCACTTTTCTTTCACTGTGGTAATAGTAGCTGCTGTTGATGGAAGGCTTAGTGAGTCTGGCTCCCTGCAAAGCTGACAGCATTGTCTCATTGTTATTCCCACCGTGATTTCCACAGCGGAGGCTTTTCTAACGAGCCGTGCAACTTTGAGGGGAAAATCGTTTAAGCTCGCTTCACAGATGAGAAACTGAGGATCCTTGTACCCCGGTCGCTCACTCCGGTGCTCTGGCTGCGTCAGAGCTGACGCATTTGCCACAAGGCACTCTGCAGTAGAGCAAAGATAATTTTCTCTCAGATCATTCCCTCCCGGGAACTTCCGTCACCTCAATCAGCAAGAAATGACTCACTTATGTGTTTGCTATTGTACCTATTAAAGCTGAAAAATAGACTCATATATCTTACATTTTCAGCAGCACAGAGAGAATCCTAATGGGAAGGAAAAGAGCCCAACACCTATTTCTGAACATTCTTGTTCACAGACTCTTTCAGTTAACGGCTAGGAAACTTTATGGCCGATGATGAAAGAGGCCATCATCCTTCCTTCACTGATAAGGAAATTGAGGCCACAACATGTGAAAGGATTGACCCTCCCCTAGATCACATAGCAAATAATGCTGGAACCACGGAGCTACCAGGTCACTGTACTCTGTGTTACAATGGGTTTGACTGACTTGAGTTCATGCACGTGTGCTGATTTGCCTTGCCCTTCTAATGATCTCTGGCTTAATTCAGTGTTTACTAAACATACACACACACACACACACACACACACACACACACACACACACTCACACACCAGTACATTTACACTACGGCTAGTATGACTTTCATATCTCAGTGCTAACAATCACATCTTATTGTCTTCGGAGATGGGCTAGGACTGATGTGTCATAGTGATTCTGGGCTATGTCTGACGGTGTAATGACTCCATCTCATATTTTGGTTTTAAGACTAGACTTTGATAAATGCCGATGCACAATTCTATAATGTGTGCTGTCTCTCTGTGTATAATAGCGTGTATTTTTTTTTAATTGCAGCATCAACGACATTGCTGCTGTTGGGCCTGAGAACTTTTATGCCACAAATGATCACTATTTTACTGACCCATACTTACGGTCCTGGGAAATGTACTTGGGTCTGTCATGGTCCAATGTTGTGTACTACAGCCCAGATAAAGTCCATGTGGTCGCAGAAGGATTTGATTTCGCCAATGGCATTGGCATTTCCCTTGATGGCAAGTATGTGTACTTTCTAGAACACAATGGGTTTGCTTCAATTCTTCTTATATGGTTTTAGTACAAGTAATATCAATATGATTATCTGTTGTGTTATGTTAGTAAGATGAAACTGGAGAAAATGTAAAAACTACCAATTCTTGAGTGTATACAGTACGTAGTTTGGGTCTGTAACATGAAAAGAGTCTTGTACCAGAATGTAAAGCAAGGCACTGGTTCGCTCATCAGAAACTCTTACTCTTTTAGTTTCTTTTCTATTGCTGTAGTAGAACACCCCAACCAAGGAAACTTACAAAAGAAAGCATTTAATTGTGGGCTCACAGTTCCAGAAGGTGAGTCTGTGATGAGTGTTGCAACAGACAGGCAGGTGAGGTGCTGGAGAAGTAGCTGAGAGCTTACATGTTGAGGTGTGGTAGGGTGCTAACTGGGAAAGCCACAGGTTTTTTAAATGTCAGAGTCCATCCCGAGTGACACGCCTCCTCCAACACATCTCCTAATCCTTCCCAAACAGTTCCACCAACTCCGGAATGAACATTCAAATATATGAGCCTGTGGGGACCACTCTCATTCAAACCACCATACTTTTGTATGAAAGAGTCAATGTATCTGTTAGTGATGTGGTCTACTATTTCGGGTTGGTTTTGCAGCAAACAATTCACAGAGCACAGATCACTATCGGCCTGGGCACCACACTGTGGGTAGCATTGATGTGCCTATAAAACCTGCCCATCGTTCACGTCTATACCCTGCCTCATCTTACCTCATCAAGAATTTCACAGCATCAGTAATACAGAAAACAGTAAAGTGGACAGTTTTCTGTCGTTCATTTTGTGTCTGATCCTCACAGAAGGGAGTTAACACACCACTTTTCCCACTGTTCTAGAATGTACTGTGCTGAGTCTCAGACTCTTTTTGGTGTATGGTGATACACTTTGTTCATATGACCAACCCCATGTTTGGATCAGACTGAGAGCAGGAAGAGAGGAAGACTTCTCTCCACTGAGGCCAAACACTTATCTTCTCTCATACTTTCTTGGCCTAAAAAAAAAAAAAAAAAGAAAGAGTACTGGCATCAAGAAGGTGTCCCAGTGCTCCCCAAAACCTGAATTTACGACCTGTTGACATGCAGAACCTTTGGCTTGCCACTGGGTTGACAAATCAGAGGGAGAAATGCGCAATGCAAATATTAAGAGTAGGTGTTAGCACCGAGTTCCTTCTCTGCTGATCAAGGATTAGTACCTTGCCACCTTCCTGATGACTTCCCAGTGAGTAAACACTTTGTGCTCTATAGATTACATTGAACTCTTTCAGAATCAGGTTTTGCTTTGAGAGAGATTCCATTTTTCTAGTTCCTGAGCAAAGTCCTGCTCCAAGATGAATTATCACAGCTTACCTTTTGGCATTACTCTAAGTGCTTTTATGGAGCTCTTTCTTCTTTGAAGGTATGTCTATATAGCTGAGTTGCTGGCCCACAAGATTCATGTGTACGAAAAGCATGCTAATTGGACATTAACGCCATTGAAGGTAAGCTGTATTAACACTATAAGTGGGCAGAGTGATAATTAGATTCTAATTGATTTGTGAAATTAAATGTGAGGAGGAGGGAATTCTCTGATTGGAGTGGGTGAAGAGCAATTGCTTACTTATTTATTTAGAGCCGTAAGTATGATCATGTGTTTGTCGTTCACTTTTATTCCATGGTAGAACGGAAAACAGCAAGCCAAGCTTCTCACCCAGGGGACTGGGTCACTTTCTGCTCTAGAGAATTTTAGTATGTTTTTTCTAGCTCTCTTCCTACTTTCTTCTTCTTCTTCTTCTTCTTCTTCTTCTTCTTCTTCTTCTTCTTCTTCTTCTTCTTCTTCTTCTTCATCCTTCTCCTTGTCTTTCTCCTTCTCTTCGGCTTCCTCTTCTTCTTGTCCTCTCCCATTACTCTCTCTTTCTCTCTCTCTCTCTCTGGTGACAGAGATGCCAAGAAATAGTCTCCCATTTGTAGTTCACTTAAGACTCCCCTCTGCAACAGCCACTGTTTTGCAACAGCCACGTGCTCACAGTGGCTGTATGGGCGACCTGGCTACTTCCAGATCTGCCCTCACTGGCCCCTTTACTGCTGTTCCCCAGGACTCGGCAGCAAACCCTGAGCCCCTGTCTTTCCTGTGCTCTCTCATCTTTCACTGCTTACTGATAGGACACTACAGTGAAACCTTCCCTAACAACCCAGCTACAACTTGAGCTCCCCCCATTTTGCCATAGACCCTGACTCCCTAATGCCTTAATTCTTGCTTTCAGTGTTTATTACCACGACATCACAGACTTTACTAGTCTTCTTTATTATCTGAAGGATTCACCAGGACAGATTTTTTTTTCCCATTTGTTACAGGAAGGGTCCCTAACATCTAATAAGCAACAAGCAAACATTTGTTTAATGGCTATGGTAAGGCTCACTGCATGTCAGGGCTTTACCTTTTGTCCCTACTAATTCTGGTCTAGGCTAAGTTTTGCTCAGAAAGTGTAATTGCATAAAGGGGAATGAAGGAGGCTTATGCCATTAGAGCATTATGAAGTGGTCCCTGTCCCTCAGAGCCACAAGGCACCATGCTGCCAGCACCCATGCCCACAGCATGAAGCACTGTCACTGCCAAATGCATGACTGTTCCTGTCACCATTTCTCAGGGACTGTCACCAGGGGCTTCACTCAGAGAAAATTGCTTCAAAGCAACATCAAATCTAACATCATGTTTGACATTAAAAATCATCGGCAGAGCTAGTTTAATATTAGCTGCAGAGAAACGAAATTTCACACACTCCAACTGGCTTAGGGAATAAAAATAATACTTCTGCAAGGTGAAAATTAAGGAGTTTTGCAATAAAACTCAATTCACTATAACTCAATGTGGAATGCAAGGGCTTTGCTCTGTAAGGGCGGGGGTCAGAGCTGGCTTCCTCATTTGATAACAGGACAGGGCCATCTCTCATCATTCCAACCAACCTAGCAGAAGCCACCCTGTCAAATGCAGTGACACTCGTTCTTTGGAGGATCATGGGATTTAATATTAGTCCAGTAATACTTCAGAATGCCAAGAGACTTGAGCAACATGCTGAAGTTCATTATCAGATCTGTGATGAAAGTGAATGCTGTATGTCCTGCCCAAAGTCTTACAAAGGAAGGAGGCATGGATGGGCCTTAAGACATGCTAAATGAAATAAGCCACACACAAAAGGACAGATATGATTTCACATCCCTGGGTCATCCACAGTAGCTCACATCTGTAATCCCAGCACTCAGGAGGCAAAGACAGAGGGATTCTGAGTCAGAGACTGCTTTGAGTCATATAACAAGATGTAACTCCCCCCAAATAATTTTAATAATTAAAATACTTTAAATTTGCTGGGACAACGGGACGGTAATTACCAGAAGCTGAGAAACGAGGAGTGACCATTTCATGGCTGCAGAGTTTCTCCTGAGCGGATTGAAAGTTCTAGAGCTGGCTGCTGGGGGCAGCCACACAGGCATGAGCCTGTACCTGCTGCTGCTGAGCTGTCCACGTGGAAATAGACATGTACATGACACATGGTCTATTACCTGTGTTTTAACACTGTGAAAAGAGCCCCCCCCCCAACCAAGACTCTAAGATTCAGAATTTGCCACATTGCAACCAGCTGGAGTTCTAAGAATGTTGGGGGGGGGGTGTTAACGTTAAAAACAGACCCCAGCTCTTTAGGGCATTTCTTCTAGGCAGTTCTGGGGATTGAATCCAGGCCCCATTAGGGAAAGAGGCAAGCACTCTGCTGCTGTTACCTCACTCACACTCCATCCAGTGTCTTATTTAGACTTGAGTATCTTCCACACGTCTTTGTGGCAAAGCGAGAGCACATGCCTGTTGCAATGCTTTTGATTTTATTTTACTATTTTATTTTATTAGCATGACTAGGCACTAGATATCTACAGGGCAAGACTTCCTGTCTGGATCCAGATCAGGCTACCTGCTGGATGGTGGCTGGTCTTGGCAGAAGCTATGTCTGTCCAGTTCCCTGTCTGCTCCAGGTGCGGAGCTGAGTGCCTCGCACAGTAATTACGTGGAGAGTGGATGCACTCCAGAGTGGATGCACTCCAAAAGTCCTCCCTGTCCCTTTCTCACCTCTACAGGTGTTCTCAGCAGGCTTCCATCCGCCATGGAGTTTGCCAGCTGCAAATTCCCTGCTCCATGCTAACAGCACAACACTAGATAACACCTTTTTCTCACTTAAAGAAGTTAATGGAAGCCTGTGAGCAGAGAGCTGAACCTGGGGCAGATGGCCCCTGGGGCCTGGCAAAGAGGCAGGAGTAGAGGCAGTAGATTTTGACCCGTGGCTGTTTGCTCAACCTCCTCCTGTGGGTCATGCTGTCTGTTTGCAGGCTGAAGGGCGACAGTTTTCCCTGACAGTGAGAGCGAGGCTCTGCCAGCTTGCCTGAACCCTCTAATCCTTTTGTGGACGTGTGGGGACAGTTCTCATTTTGAGCAGGGAGCAGAGGGCAGCAGCAGCACAACGCAGTGGCCTACCCACGCTCCCGCCTTTTCAGAGAGTCACGACCGCTTATTTTCAGGGTCCCTGGGTACTGAGATCCTCTTGGCCTCAGAAGCACACGGTAGATGTTGTTTCTCCAATGAGAGTTAGAGGTAAACAAATAGATGGGATTTCTTCCCGGTGGTAGAAGGCAGCCAGGATGATGAATGGAGGAATTAGGAATCGTTGCTATTATTTATGACGCCGGCGCAAAGCCACGACAGCAATCTGTGCAGCCATCATGCATTTGCAGCTTATATTTAGAGAAGAAACAGCAAAAGAGCAGCGAGTGGAATAACATCAGGAAACAAAAGAACAAACTTTCCCTCAACTTCGAGGCAAAAATTAGACCCTGGGTGGCCATTTCTTTCCTGGCTACACAGCCTCTGATTAGCCATGAAGGAACTTAGATTTCCTCCACGTTCCTCCTCAGAAATGAATCTACATTTCTTGCTTCGTTTTGAAGTATTTGTAAACATATCACATGCTCGTGTCTCTTTAGAAAGGATGGATTTATGCTACACTCAATTTTGTTTGTTTTGGGTTTATGTACAGATGGTTTTAGTTAACTCTTAAGACTCCATATTTGTTTTGTCAATTGTCCCTTGTACCCGGCATGCCTTTGAACCCCCACAGAATGCTGGCATAGCCAGAAGGCCAGATGCATCCTTGAAGTGAAGCTGAAGCGGGATGAATTGTGTACCTTGAATCAGCTCCCTAAAATAGGAGGACTGTCTCCGGCTGGTTCTTTGTAGCTTCACTCTTTATCCTTTGGGATGAATTGTGTCCCTGGGAACAGCCTTCTAAAACAGGAGGATAGTCTCCTTTGAATTGTCTGTGGCCAGCCTGTCATATCTTCACTCTTTCTCTCTCTTTTAACTCTGGCAGGTCCTCGACTTTGACACCCTTGTGGATAACATCTCTGTGGATCCGGTGACAGGGGACCTCTGGGTCGGTTGCCATCCCAATGGGATGAGGATCTTCTTCTATGACTCAGAGAACCCTCCTGGCTCAGAGGTTAGTTTGCAAGGTGAACTGGATGCAGGGACTAGCTCTAACTACCAATTTTCAACTGAAAACACAATTCTCACTTGTATGTGCACATAGAGAAGGCATGTGATAGATGATCCAGGAATCCAGAAGTCAAAAGACAAGAGTCCAGAAGGAGCACAGCTAATCCTTTATGACTGGATAATTTTTTGGGGGGGGTGTTGGTTTACAAAAATGTGGGCACCTTTGTATAGGTACATCAACAGGAGATGAAACAGTAACACAGGGCTCTCTGTGTGTGTGCACTCCCACACACAAAATAGCTGCCAAAACCAAAAGGAGAAGGGGATGAATAGCGTGTTGGGAGTGTAACTCAGTGGAGAGTACTTATCCAGCATGCGTGAAGCACTGGGAAAAAGCAACCCTATCATTGGAAAAATAAAAACAAGACAAAATGAACACAAGTAAAAATAAACACACAAACAAAAATGGAGTGGTATTTGAAGGAAGCAGGCAGCTAGCTGAGAATTTAGCCAGCCAGGAGTCATCTGCAGAGACAAAAACACTGGGGTTGAGCCTCTACTTCGCCTCTTCAGACCTTTCAAGCATGCAAGAAGGTGAGCTGAAGAGCCCCTTCCAAGCAGGCCTCCGTACAAGTCAGCCTGGGGAGCACGGGCCTAAAGGGCGGTGGTGAAGGCTTCCAGCAGGAGGGTGCCAACATCCTATTTCATTAGTGAGTTCCCCATCCTAGGAATTCATAATACTTAAAAAAAAATACAATGGTGTCACACTGCTAGGCTGTATCCATTTGCTATCCATTTCTCCATATAACTTTCCCTTCCCTGGCATTAGTACCCATCTAGGGTATCACTTCAGCCTCTCTTGGTATCTCTGATGGACTGCCTCTGTGGTTCCCACGGATACAACATCCATAGATGCTGAAGTTCTTCATATGAAGTTATGTGGCATTTTAGCATGATCTACACACATCCATCTTCTTGCACACTTTGCTTTCTTTTCGCATATGTGTGTGAGTTTGTGTACCTACATATATGGGCACCTACAGGAGGTGGCCAGAAGTCCATGTCGGTTATCTTCAAAGCTGCTTTTTCACCTAATGTTTTGGGACAGGGCTTCTCGCTGAACCAGGCTGGAAGCAAGGCAGGGAACTACCTCCCAACACTGGGATGACAAGCTCAACTCTCCGAGAGCAGCTCTCTATGGGACGCCAGGGATCTGAACTCAAGCACTCATGACCACACAGCGAGCGTCCACAGGAACATCTCCTCAGCCCGCCTGTGTATTTAAACCTCTCTACATCTCTCATGAGGCCTGACACACACATAGATAAACACCTATGCTGCCTAATTTAAAAGATCGTGACAGAAAAAGGAAAATTTATATGTGCTCTACATGTAAGTGTGTATAACACACACACCTATTTCAATCTGCGACCACTGAGGTCTGCAGATGTGGAACCTATGGAGAAGGCTGACTGTACAGGAAGTACAGAGGGCCAGCATATGGCCATCCTATCTACACATACCCAGGGAGTCTTCACCTCTCTTAGCTATAGCACTCAAAGATCCTGTTTGCCCATTGTCTTCATCTTGGCAGCTTACTTTGAATTGATTTACAGTGCAAATAATAAAAATTGGAAACCCATTTGCCACAGGCACTTGCACATTTACCATGACTGATCCACTTTCCCCTATGTTATCACATTTGTTTATGTATTTGTGTTTCTATGTGTGCGCACTCGTCTGTTCATGCCATGACACACACGTGGAGCTTACAGGACAATTTGGGACAGGTGGATCTCTCCTAACATGTGGCTCCTGGGAGGTGTACTCAGGCTGCCAGGCTCTTCAGGCGTCACTCACTGGATCTCACTGCCCCTATTCTGAGTTTTTAATATGTGGGAACTATATGTGTTATTTTATCCAACAACATGCTATTACTCTTTTGAAGGAATACGTACTTTGAAAGCCTGGCTTTAAATCAGTCTTACCCAGAATGATGGACACACACACACACACAAAATATCTCCCTATATCTTAAAAAAAAATCTAATATGAATGGATCATCTAATTTTCAAACTCACAGGAAATTATGATTGGGCTTAATGTTAATAATCTCTTATGCCTTTTGCTAGGCATTTTTTTTTTTTTTTTTTTTTTTTTTTTTTTTTTTGCTATTAGCTTTGCTCAGTGGTGTATTTGGTAGAATTGAAGAAATGTATGCCGTTAAGTGTTCAGCATGTAAAAAAGCTGAGCAGAAGGTTCAGTTCTAACTGTTCTTGCTTGTTAGTGCAGCCGATGAAGTTGGGGCCTTTGCTCTAGCAGGGATTTGTTTTGTTGTTCTGGAAAAAAATTTGCTTCCGTTCTAATGGTGAATTTGGTAAGGGAAATAATAAATAATTTGAACGCCCTCTCTATTGTACTGCCCATAGATACTGAGATACTGCCGTAGATAACTGTTTCTTTTTTGTAAGTAACATGTTAACCTTGCAGCAGCTTCCTAAGACGTGTCTGCAGGGCTAGCTTTGTTACAAGTCATTTGGATCCTCCCTCTGACCTCTTATATGCCACACAGAGTGTTCTGTAGTAACAGATTTCTCTTTTTCAAGTCACAATATTTTATCCTTGTCAAAAGAGAATGTAGAAGAAATTTGGTCTCCCCCATCTAAATCTTCATGGAGACATCAACGGTAAATGAAAGACCCGAGCCTTGGCCCACAGCCACTGCCTCAGTAAGACCCTCTTCGTATTAGGTTTTATTATGTAAACTTGTTTGGTTACCCAAAAGGAGCAGGTACTAGCTATGCCGTATGGCGAATTTAACATGAACTACGTGGTCAATAATGATGTGATGAAATTTCTCAGCAAAGCGAAGGAAACTAAACTTAAAAATCTTTTCTACTTAGAGGTAGGACCTTAATCTCAAAAGGGCGTGTAGGTGTGCTACAGAGAGGTGGCTTCTTGGGTCATGCTTTCACTCTTGTCTACATTATAAAACAAGACATTCTGAGGCATAGCGGTGCATACGCACCTGGAATCGCAGAATTTAAGAGTCTGAGGTGGGAGAAGTGCAAGTTCAAAGTTAGCCTCGGATATATAAGAAAGACTGTCTCATAGCTAATCAACCAACTGAGCAACCAATCAAATCATGACTCCCCAAGCAGAAACTCAGTGTAAGCCTCCAAGTTCCTAACTTCCCTGAAAAAATGCACAGAATGGACCCAAATGCCAGTAAGGAAACCATACAGCCACTGCTCACACCTCCTCTCCTCTCTGACATTGACTGTGTTCCTTAGTGTGCCCTAATGTCTCACATCAGGCTGTGTTGCTCGCTACACGCCCTGCCTTACCCGTGTGTGTTCATAGGCCTGTTCCTAGTGTTAAAGATCACGTGATCAGAACCCAGCCAATCGCAGACGAGGAAACAGCTCTCTTGACTGATGTAATTTTGTGAGATAATGTGGCTGAAGGGGAGACAACGTCAGGTTTAAAGCTGACTGAAGCGACTTAGCAAACTCTTAACCTCTCGTCGTCGTTTCCTTGATAGGTGCTTCGGATCCAGAACATTTTATCAGAAGAACCCAAAGTAACTGTGGTATATGCAGAGAATGGCACGGTCCTGCAAGGCACGACAGTTGCCTCGGTCTACAAAGGAAAACTGCTGATCGGCACGGTGTTCCACAGAGCTCTTTACTGTGATCTGTGACAAGCGGGGTGCGCCCAGGTCGTGGAGACAGAGCCCGTTATTTCAATCTTCGGCCGTATTTTAAGGTGCCTGCCTCAGTGGTGTGTGTTGACTTGGTCTCAGACTTGAGCAGGCATGAGAGGGTTTACTGGCCATAAATGCTAAATAGCAAGAATTTCTTGAATGTTAGCCTAGGACTTACTTGAAGACTTCATTTACCAATAAAACCTCACTTTCACCAAAATGGGTACATTTCTCCAGTCCTACATACTTTGTGATATGATTCATATGAAATGTTCCTGCAGGCTTACATGCTGAATGTTCAGTCCTCAGCTGGGGCCAGTATTGAGAACTTCAGGAGGCAGTACCTCACTGGTGGACGTATGTCACTGAGAGGTTACCCTGGTCCTCACAGTGCTCCTCTTAGCTTCCTCTGTTCGCTGTGAGGTGAGGTTCTGCCAGATGCTAGGGCTGAGTTGCTGTCTTACTGCAGGCCCAGAAACTACGGAGCCACTTGCGGACTGAAGCCTCCTAAAAGAGCCAGAACGAATTTTTTCTCCTTTCAGTTATACCAGGCAGTCTGTCACGGCATTGGGAAAAGTCAGTGATGCCTTGTATGGAACTCCAAACACACTTTCCCTTTCACACACACAATTCCTGAAACCACCTAAGTGTCTTTGTGCATTGCAAGTTTTTCCTTAAGAAGAGAGTATGGTCGACTCTGGGGACTCTTGGGTCACATAGGGACTTCAGGTATCTATCGTAAGTGTCATCGTTAGGACAGCTCTCAACATCTCGGGGGCCAGTGGATGGACTAGCACTTCAGACTTCTGTTTTCCCCTTTCTATGACTTCTCAGGAAACTGCCTGGGGAACTGCAGGTACCGTCTCTCCTTTCACACTGAGCTTTTCAATTTTCCCAAAGGTCTCTGGGAAGCCTATCACACTCAAACATGATTTCTGTTATCTTGACACATTATACGCTCTGTTTTTGTTGGGCTGGAGAGTGCAGGAATTTGCTTCTTTTGTAATGACTAGGTTTAGGAGTATTCTATAACCCATCACACAGTCTGAGCTTCCCCCAAGCCCATGTTCTTCAGCTGGTGCCAGGCCTGGGGTTTGTTTCCTTGATTTTTGTTTTGTTTGGCTTTACCAATTCTAACCTGCTATGAAGACCGAGAAGAGGAAAAAAAGGAAGACAAACAGATTTAAAAAAATAGAAAGATCAACAACCTTTGGCTAGTTTCTGAGAGACATGACCAAGAAGAAAATTTCTTCTTATGCTGGTTATGAAACAAGAGATTATTAGGTATCATTATTTGTCTGTTTTGAGGAAAGAATCCCAGTGCTGGGTTATTTCTTTGGGTCAGTACAGAAGCCAGTTAAGAGATGAAGTATTTCTAAGATATTTGCCATGGCATTTATTTGTTTTTTTTTTTTTTTTTTTTTGTTTTTTTTTGTTTTTGGTGGGGGTAGGGAGGTAGAGGGATGGTTTGATGAGAAACTGAAAACTGTCAATCATTTAGGACCACAGATTGACAATATAAGACAAATACAGTTTTTTTGGAGCCAGAGGCATCATGATGTATGCCTACAATTCTAGACTCAGGAGATTGCGGCAGTGGGATCATGAATTATAAGCCACGTCAGTCTATGAAGATGTCATCTCAAGAAAACCAAAATAATAACACATATTATTTTTCATAAAAGAACCACTTTCCAAATAATGTATTTTAAGTGATTTGAGTCAGTTTGGTACATGACACCAGGTAGCCTGTGAGTGTTCAGTTATTCAGTGGTGCCAGTTATTCAGTTCTGGAGGCTGGACTCTCTGAAACACTGGCTCTGACTACCAAATGAGTGTGGTACTTAGGAAAGCAAACCTCATATGCCTCTCAAAAATAAAACAAAAACAAAAACATCTTAACTGGTGAAATGACTGTATTTTCTTTCTTCTGACTGATGAACTAACCTGATTCTTCCAAAAAGAGGAAATAAAAAACAAAAACAAAAAATTGAAGCAGGGGGATACAAAGTGAATAAAGTGTAATTAATAAAAATATTTTTTAAAAATGAAGGTATTCAGTTTCCCATGGCATGCATTCAAGATTGGCCAAAGAAAAACAGTTCTGGGGAAGGGCTCTTTAGCAGGCACTCTAAAAAGGAGGGTTATGGGTTACTTCACTTGTTCTGTGAGGCTGGGGCAATGCAGGACAGACTCATTTCATTATTGCTTTCTCAGTCTTGGAGAGCTGAGGACGGAAACGGCTTAAAACAACCCGGTGTTCTAGGATGGACCTGATTCCTTTTCAGCTTGCCTCTTGTGTGGGACTGACTGCTTCATGGATCCGTCATCCAGCTTTCTGTGGCTGACGGGTATCGGAAGCTTGACGGTGAGGCAGTGACAAAGGGACAGGTGAAGAAGTGGACAAGGGGCCTCCGAGTGCAGCCCTGCTCTTCAGCTCCATGCCCACTTCCATAATTGTGCTTTCAAGTGTAATTCTAGCTGCCAATTTACACTTTACCAGAGTTAAAACTTATTTTTAGTTTCATTTCCATGAAAAATGTGCACTTTGCTCTTGATGGATAGATATGTTTTGACAGTTAATGCAGGTTTACCCAGTTCAGGCTTGTTTTAGTTGAAGGTAGAAATGGAAGAGGAAAAAAAGAAACTTGCACTCCGATAGATCTCTGTATTTCCTTTTATTGCATTCATTACCTAACAACAATAATACTCATTGGCAAGAAATGTATTTACACTAGCAAATTAAATTTACTCACAGGTATTTTTAGATGGTCAGAAAACAATGGGCCACTGAAGGTATAGTTAGCTTTGAACGCCTCTGAAAACCAAAGAGTACGGAATGCCATTTGAAACAGCATACACTGATCAGGCACCAGAGAACAGATCAGAGGTGGCACTTTTGTCTCTTCCATGCAAATGATCAGACAGCAAAATGTACAAGTTAAAAGTTTCAGGTAATATGCTATTCATACTTACCTGACTCAGATCATTTTTGAACCACTTTCCCTTTAGCAATATATATGGAAAGAGGAAAACAAATCAAATCTTACAGTAGAACAGAATTTTATTCTCCCTGTAGTGTTCAGCTGCCTGGTCTTGTCAGTGATATATAGCAAATGTCCAAGTGGTTTCATCAAAACGTCACTAAAAAATCCAAAAGCAGTAGCTATGACATTAAATAATAGCAAGGCGTGTATACATACGCATGTTCCAAGACTTTGTTAATCACTGAGTGAACCTGATGCCGTTGGAAGGTGTTATCTAGCCTGAGCATCACTTCCTGCTTCATTCTGTAAAGACAATTTAGGGTATTTCTGGCCAATTGTTCTTTCATGAAGGAATGCGTAAGTCCTTAACAAGAAACTTGCGTGCGTGCATAGAACAGCTGAAGGAAATGAATGTACACACCTTCCAACAACATATACTCATAACCCATTGTGTTATTTTTGGTGGGAAACAAAATGCCATTTCAAGCTGATGGCATAGGAAGTCAACGGTGGTCACACGACAGAAATGCTGCCACCGGAGAGCCAGTAGTTCGTGATGGGAGCATCATGGCTGCGGACGCTCTCGTTTCAGAGGTGAGGGTTGGTACACGAGAACGCACAGTGCAATTTAGTCAAGGAAACTGCGATCCGCAGTTGAGAATGCCCAAAGCTGCATAGTATCTTCTGAGTTCTAACTAAAGAATGTGCAATCTCGACAGCAAAGCATTAAGCAAACATTTGAGGAAGATTTATCTTAGTAAAATACAATACCAAAGATCTAATAAATCAATTTTACCAAAATATATAAACATTTAGAAGCGTAAGTGCATTTAGTAGGATACTTACATTAAAAAAAACAAAACAAAACACAAAACCTCTTAAAATCTATGAGTCATTCAATGTATACACAACACAGAAGTGGCAATAGGCTATGATTACAGCCCAGGGTCCTAACTAACATCACTGTAGTCCAAGGATGGTATATTTTTATGCCATGTGCTTATGGTATATATGTGTGTGTAAGGTGGGAGCTATATTCACACACACACAGCTCTGACACCTACACAAGTGGCATGCACATAACTGAGAATTTGTGGCTTGTTCTCTTACTCCTTGCACTGTCCTGCACATTGCTGGATCTCTAACGATCTGGGGTGGGTAGGGTCAAGGGCTGGGAAGCACGGAGCTTCTTTGGCCCCCTACTCTCAGGATAGAGAAACAGGTCCAGGTGCTTACAGATTGGTGCCTTGAGTGACGGACATTCTCTGAGGTTCCCACACAGACACCCATGCACAAACAGGCGAGGACCCTGGGCCTCCCACAAATGGAACTGGTGTTCCTATCCAGGGTATGATTTATTGTGTAGGCTTTTCCTTTTCCGTCCAAGTGGTCATTCCAGCTTCTTCAATGCTACTCTTCAAGTTATTAAAATGTGTTTTCTTTGATGCTATTTTTCCTCCAGTGTTTTGGATCAAGGCTAAGTTTCATGGGACTTTAAATATTCAAGACAAAAGCAAACACGATCAGCCTGCACCCACAGTCTAATTTTCAGGACTAAACAGGTGACACAGATTTCCTGTAATGCTGTCTTGAGACCACCCCCCTGTATTCTTTCACAGTGAGAACAGTTTTGGAGAAAAGCAGTTACTTTACTTTTGACCTCACCTCCAGCTCCACTTTAGAACTGGAGATAGGCAGAGCCCGGACTCAAAGCAAGTAAAAAAAAAAACAAAAACAAAAAAACACAAAACAAAAAAACCCCAAGCACGTGAAAACTAGCCCTGTCATTTCCTAATTACCTTTCACCAAGTAGCACGAGGGTCTTGGCGATTAAGCAAGTGACACAAAGTCTACCAATGCCTGTCCCCAAAAGTGAGGTGTTCCTTATCACCAGCTCTGTGGGAAGAGACTTTCATTGGACTTTAATGGAATTTGGTAATTCTTAAATATCTCATTGTTTCACAGGGCAATATCCACTGTACAGACGTTTCTTGTAGAATCGTTTGCCCTCTCTCCTCCAGAATCATCTTGATCCTTGCTAAATGCTGATTGGTCCTCCTGAAATTTATCTAACTTTCCATGTTTATAAATGACTTGAAATAGCTGTAAAAATGCAATTTGTTTACTTCTTATTTAGTTTTCAGGCACAAGTTAATCCTAAAGGAGAATTCTTCATCTTCAGCTTAGTCCCTAGAGGCCCAGGTGCTACATCTGACCTGTGGAGATTTCTGTAGCTTAGGCCTAAGGTAGTTAAGATCTCAGGATGAACACTGCCCGGCATGAACAGTAGCAGGGGTCCTCACTTCTCCTATGCCACTTCACTTCCAAAAATAAAGGAATACAGGTAAGTGTTCCCATTTTGTGCCTGTTAGACGCTGAGTTCAGCATTAGCGCCTACCATACTGTAATCACGTAGTGTGGGACTGTAATAGTCTACATGAGGTGGAAAGCCCGTGTCAACCCCAACTAAAGGATGGCAGGTCCCCCCAGAACAGCTTTGTGTTCGAGGTACGAAGAGCAGGCTTTATGAGAGCACTGACGTGGATAAAGAATGGTTTCTGCTCTGACAGGGCTCTTCTGACTCTGGGGAGGAGGAAGGACTGACTGTGTACTGAAGGGTCATGCTGGAGGAGGTGGCTTAAGCTCAGCAACCAATTACCAAATCCGTTAATGGAGCCCTGACTCCTACAATGCTCTTTACCCAGGCCAGGACCTCACCAGGGACCCCCACTCCCAACCATGACTTGTACCCAAAACACTTGCTTACTGATGGGTCCTCTTATCCTTCATAGTATGTTGACATTCCCTTTTTGTTCACGTGTTGCCAACTTAAAAACCCTCCAAAATCCTATATAAACCCTGAAAACTACAGCATTAAAGCAGAAATTGTGCAAGATGTCGGAAACTCAATTATTATCAGGCAGCACAGTCAATAAAGGAACTAACAGGAAATCAAGATGCTCACAAGGTCTGAGTTCCTTCACTTTGTTTCCACGCTGTGTCAACCAGTTTATGTTTTGTCCTTTGCTGAACAATGTGATCAAGAGCCTTTTACAATTTTACCAGTTTTAAGTAGCAATATTAAAAAAAGATCATTTTGGTCTAAGATTGCAATAACTTAACTAAAGAAATCAAAATAGTTGAAACATAAATGATGTAAGAACTATGAATTTGATTTGTAACTGTCAGATGAATGCTGATCCAAGCACTGAGTGTTAATAACATTATAGTTGGAACATTGTATTTAAGAAATGCAATCTAAGATCATAAGTTACAGGCAGAGACAGACTTATAGACATTTCCAATATATACATTCATTTTCAACTATCATCAAAGTGTAAACACAACTTAAAATGATCATCCTTCTGTTTTCACTCTTGAAAATGAACACAGAGAAGCTTCCAGTGCAATCCAGGTCTGTTCATTTTTTTTTCCCTCCCCAAAGAAAAGAAAAAATAAACGGCTGAAATTTACAATTGCAAGTGTTAGTAGTGCCAGATTTTTGCTTAGTCTTCTGGTATTAGGAAAGATTTGCTAAATTTGTAGTTCAGCAATGTGTCTCATGGTTTCCCAAAATATTTGTAAATGGCAAAGCGTCAGGCATCTGAAGACACACAGGCACCCAGTACCCTACTCCAGGTCGGAACCATGAAGCAGGGCTGGTGGCTGCGGAGCACAATGCTACTGCCACGTCGTGCTTTTCACACTGGGTCTGTACCAGAAGGACCAAGACTGAACAGCAGGGCTCTGGGGCAGAAAAGGACGTAGGTCGTGGGAGAAAGAACAGGGTTAAGTCTCTAGTTCAGATGGTGTCAGAAGTTGTATGTTTCAAAAATAAAAATAACAATTAAAATGAAAAGTCACACTGTTGAGATACAAGGTGAGGCCATGCTGGCAGCCGAGCCCTACCCTAGCGGACACCTGTTGTAATGCCACAGCCTGAAGCAGGCCCTCACACCTGTGCCTCTGAGGGAGACACACACAGGCTGTGGACAGTGGAAGGGCCTGGTGGGTTAAAGCTTGCTGAAGTCCAAGGAGTCATCTGACCTCCAGCTCTACTTTGAAATTTGTCCATCATAAAGTAGATGATGTCACTTTTTTTTAGAGTCAATGCAGTAATGTGTTAGATACATAACCATAAAAAAAAGCAAAACTAAAGGCAAGCACATAAATAAAAGCCCCCAAGGTATGAAATGTCTCAAGATGAGTTTCTTTTCTCCTCCTGCCCCAGTGTCCTGCACTCAACTCAAGTTGGTGAAATACTGTGATCCTTAATACTGGCCCTAAGGAAGTATATCAGCTCTTGCACTGTCAAGGTCCATTCCATGTACTGTCTTAAACCTGGAACTCTCTAGAATGTGGAAAAGAATGGCTTAGAAAAGTCATCCATGTCTCTAAAATGCAAATGATGGCTGTCCTTCACAGGAAAGAACTATGTGTGCTGAAAAAAAAAGTTCTCTGGTTGACTGTTACTCAAATCTCAATCTCTAACCAGTATTTCTAGTTTTAAGTTCTTAAAAGTACATTTGTTAAAACACTAACTGAGCCCACTTGGGAAATTCTGAGTAGAAAATATGTGACAAGTTCCTGATTGTGTCACAGGCAGGCTGAAGACCAGCTGGGAGGTCCCAGGAGAGGAAACCTGAAAATGTTGGTTTCCTTAAAAATCAATTTCCTGTTCAGTTTGCTGGGGAAAGGGAGCTGTGCTGTGCATGCCAGCGCTGCCGAAACACTGGGCTCGCAGCGCCGGCCAACGGAGCAGCAGATCCCAGCATCCATGGGACGCTCTGACGTTTCCTTCTTTGTTCAGCAATACTTGGAGGAAAATGTCGGCCTCCAAGGCCCACATCTACGTTCTTAAGGCCTTTCCATTTCCTCTAGAGTTAACCAACAACTGTATTTTTTTCTCTCTTTCTGATTCCTCTCTTCACCTCAGCTGGGCACCCACCTCTCCACGATGACTGACTCACTGTACAGTCAGAATTGAGGGGTGCCTTTCCCACATACCCACTGTCCTAGACTCTGCAGCACAGCTCCCCCCTCTCGAGGCAGGGACCCTCAACACACTAACAGGTTACTGTCTCGCCTTCAGGGGCTCTCACTGAAAGTTCTGGGCACTCCACTCACAACGCCAGAGTGAGTCCTTCTCTCATTAGTTGGTCAGGGTGGTCCTCCAAGAAGCACCCCGCACTTTAACCCAGCACGGAATGCTGGTAGGCAGAGGAGAAAAGTGGGATTTCTGGTCTGTTAATAAACCAAAGGTGGTGGCTAGGGGTTATTTTAGGAGGTTAAAATTAAGAGTGCATTCAACACACAGTTCTTTGGACCACCTACACTGGCATTCTCCCCAACAGTTTCATCTTCATCCTCTGCTGGAGAAGGGGGTCAGGAAGGGGCGGGACTTCTCTCAAGCTTTCCCACCTACTGCAGTAGGCTAGGTATTACGGCTCACTGTTGCTCTCTGCTGTGGAAGTCATCTTTTCTGACTTTTTTGACTTCCTTTGCATTTGCTCTTGTTCCTTCCTCCTCAGTTTTTCTCTTTGTTTTTCCATTTTCTCGTGGGCCTTCCGAGCCTTCTCCAGAGACATCTTCATTTCCTTCAGTTTTTTTTTAACCAGTGCCCGGTCCTGGGATGATGTCATCCCAAGAGCCTAAAAAGGAAACACATGCACAAACTGAATGTGATAAACTGCTGACCTCTTTGCTTATGATGAGGAAAACATCATACTATGTTTAACCTCATGACCTTAGTTAAACATAGAAAGAGGTCAGAGCTGAGGAAAAGCAGTCAACATGTGCTAAATTCTGTATGCCCTGAGGATCTGTGCTTCGTGCATTGAAGTTCTTGCAAAATACACTCCAGAAGTCATTAAGAAAATGTTTTCAAATTGGTAACTAACGAGAGAATAAATAAAAAGGGCACGATCCTGCTTCTTCAACCTTCAGCTGAAGTCTTGCTAAACTCATCAATATCTTCAAAGGGTAACAGAGAGCACCTGCTGCCACAGAAAGCTCCAAGAAGGGCAGGGAGAACTGAAATGGCCTCCCGTTTGCCAATGCAGTTATTTACAATGAGACTCAAAAAAAGTCTTTGGGGCCAGCATGCCCATGTCAGCACCTCTCCAGCCATTGTCTTCCCAAAGGCAGACCTATAAAGGAAGCCTGATTACAATGACGAGGTTGCTGGATTCGCTTGGAATTGAGAATCAGGGGAGATGGTTGTGTTCTTTAAATGCTCCATGACCTTCAGCATCAGCAGCAGGCTGCATCCATCTCCCCAACAGGGACAGCCTTGTCAATGGGGCCTTCATATTCACAGCTATTGATTGATCGCTAACCTTTTCAAAGACTGTCAAGAGATACTCATCTATCCATCAGCCTAGCGGTAGGGAGGGCTGTATAGAGCTGGCTGGTACCCTCCTCTTGCCCTTTCTCCACAGAGTTGGGCGCCATCTCAGTCTCTAAGAGAGATTGGCTGTATGGGCGGAAATGAAGGTGCAATGGAGGTGACAGGTAGGGATGGTTTGCATATACTTGGGGAAGAAAGTAGGGGACACCAATTCAGTTTTCAAGTAGTGGGTAGGAGGGGGCGCCTGGAGAGAAATGCAGAAGGAAAGATTCATACTGATCATTATTAAACCTTAACAGTGCAATGGAAAGTGAGTGGCTTTAATACAGATATCACATATTACCCGGCGAAGGCAAGGGAAGGGTCCCTAACTCTCTTAGACAGTGGCCTATCCTGAGTCAGAGCTCCTCATGAGCTTCCTGAAGCTTCATTTCTTACTGAAAAAAATTAAGTATCTTTTCTGCTACGCATTGAGAAGAATTACCACATGGATATGCAGGACACTCTTGGCTAGCAAGAACATGTCAGGGGCTACAAGTAACATACAGAACTGGTAACCCAATACAGACAAAGAATGTTTTACCTTCAGTTTGTTTCCATCCAGCTGCAGGAGCTGCTCCCCCGTGATGTTCTGAGCACTAAATTCAGACACATACTGGTCCAGATTTAGGCTCATTAACCAGTGCGAAACCTGCTGCACATTCCACTCATGAACAGCCCGACTGGGAGTCTGGCTGTGTTTGGGAGACTGCCCGTCATCTAGGATCTGCGGGGGGAATAAATGCAGTGTTGATCAGGGACTGTGACACCAAGCCTCACACTGTGCTATCAAAGGAGTTTTTCGGGCTCCAACGGCTGTATTTACTTGTAAATCATAAAGGATAATAGCTGTATTTGTTTTAGAAAAGAAGTCTATTACCTGTATGACTCTGGTAGACAGAAAATCAAATCTATCCCACAAATAAAGTACCATTTCAAATGTAGGAAATAAAAAAACCCGAAAAAGCATACATTAACATTGATGACTAAATAACCATTAACATTAACACTGATGAGAAAAAACCATGGAGATATTATCCTATGTGGAAAATACATATTTCATAGTTCTCTATATGTCATACATCACTTAAAATTATCCTTTGTGAAGGCATTGAAGTTATATAAAAACACATTTTAAATATCAATCTCCATCACTCTATAGGTAAAAGCCCTCAAGCTTTGTTAGGGAAATTTCACAGCCATATTTCATCTGAGCAGGAAGCAAACCTGTGAGGAACGTAGGCTGCTAACACCCACAACTCCTTTAAGAGATAAGGAAAATGGGGATCAGAAAGTTTACATGATCTCTCTTAGACAACATAGCAATAAATGACAGAGCTTCATGACACACTCATTGCAAATGTCAGGCTCTGGCCACTGTAGAGCCTGCGCACTGCTCTTCATTTGTGTAAAGAGGCAGAACAGCTCCCAGAACCGCTAAGCTGAGAGAAGATGAAGCCATTGCAGGTCTCAGAGAAAAGACAGGAGTTATATGGTGAGCCACTTGAAGAGCAGAGCAGAGGGGAGGGTGCAAGCTGAGGGGAAGGCAGAGGATATGAAAAGGAATGGACCATGTCAGCTAATGGCTACGGGAGACACATGAGGGGCTCTGGAGGCAGGACTTAGGGCCTCTTGATCCAGGAACATCTTTTCAGTAAAATGTACACACGTGCAGACTGTCTCCCTGCACTATGAGCAGTGTTTTTGTGTTCTTGGATTCATAAGTCATTTGTAAGGAGAAAAAAGCAGCTTCAAACCAGACAAGGCATCACACACAACCCACAGATAGCTCACCTCATCATCTATCATATCCAGGCTCTGGGTGAGAAGCAACAAAAGAACCAGAAAGAAGAGTGTTACAGAAATGGGACACATAGCATCCACAGTGCATACATCAAAATCAAGCCCAGCTGGAAAAACATGACCAGAAAAGTTTAAAAGAAAAAAAAAAGTTTTATTTCACAAAACTCCCATCAAAAAGAAACAGAATAATTATTTTAGATGTTTATTTTAAAATAAACATATTCTAATTATATTATTTCCTGTCCCACCACTGCCACCATTTTTAGAACTAAGTCAATACCAACATAGGTTTCTGCTTATCTCCTGCATACATACTTCCTGGTAATCTAGCAATGCTAATTCTCCCTCTAGCATCTGGATAAATGGTTCTTACTCTGTTTCCTTTCCTGAACTGTGCCTATTGATTGTAATGATTCAACTTGGGGGGCATACCACAGTCAGAGGACTGTCAGAGTCTGGGGGTAGGAGCAACGCTGTATAAGGAGAGAAAGAATGGATAATTCAGTGTCCAAGTGATCTGAACCGTTTATCTAGTCTTGCTCTCCAGGGCCCAGCCTCTCTACCATGTGTGTTTACATATGTAATGGGATCCCCAGGGAGATGTAAGGGGCTCAGAAACTATCCTTTTCTTTAATGTTGAAGGCGAGGGGAATGTAATTATGAGGAATTTGTGTTAAACATAAAACCTCAGTGTTGATGGCTTCTATGCTAAATCTACCCTCAAATATCTTCCCATCGTGGGATACGGAGGAATTAAGTGACATAAAAAATAAATTCTGCCGTGGTGCCGTTACAGTACCTCATCCGAGGACAGGGCCAAGGACTGGGAGAGCCCTGGCGTTTTGGGTTCTGCTCCTAAACCGCTCAGGTCTGCTGAACTGGTACTGCTTGGGCTGAAGTCATCATTGAAGGTGAAATTCTGCAAAAATGAATAAAACCATGTTAAATGAACACAGAGAGTGAGCTAGAGGCAGGAGTGATCCCGAGTCCTCAACTGCTTCATTTTAATTAACTTTCTTCGGAAGACACTCAAGTGCTGGGTTGGGGATGACGTCAGCTGGGCAATGGTGGGTGCTGCTCCAGCTTTTGAGCCTGACTGGAAATCCTGGGCACCTTTTCCATGGATGCAAGAAGAGGTGTTGTAGAGAAATGGCTTCTCTCCAAGGGCACAGAATTCATTATCCTCTGCAACTGCTCAGGAGTGATATTAACAAGCCCATCTGCTGTGACCCTAATTGTGAGGAGCACCAGTGTGCGCAGGAACACAAGATGGTGTGGAGAGGCTGAGTTATCAGGAACAGATGGCGATTCATATCAGGAAGGTAGCTGGAGTGCCCCTGGGAAGGATGGCATGTAGCTGGCTGTGATAAATACTGTGAGAACTGACAGGTCCCCTCCTGGATGTACCCTTTAGAATGACGAGCTCTGGAGGAGGGCATGGTCTGACAACACAACACTAGTAACCTGTTGGAAAATAACTCTCTCATGGCACCAGCATACAGCCAGAGACTGCAGTAGGGTTCAGACCCACAGGAATGCATAATCTCCTGAGGTTAGGGAGGTGGAGTGTGGGGGAAAAAAAGTGAATTTCCTGAGAACTGCTTTAACATGCTCAGCAGATGTAAAGACAACTTGACAATGGCCACAGAGCCTTACTTATAAGAATGTTTTCTAATGAACCTCTCTTTTGTGTGAGATAATGTTAGACTCACTCAAGTGAACCTTAAGTCTCAGAACTGTAGAAGGCCCAATGGGTCAAGTATTACCAAAACGTCTTTTGCTACCTGTAAAGTGGTTGGATTTCCAGGAACTCTACGTAACTGCCCAACACCATCTTGTTTCAAACTGCACTTCTGTAGAAACCAGACTGTTGTTTCCATTATGTTCCTTTGTGTTGGGCTTAGCTGATTATTGAGAATAAATACCATGCCAGAGACTCTAGACTTTAGTACCAAACTAACTCCGAGATTTGGCAAATCTTCCCCAAAAGGAATGAGGCTGGCAGAACGTTCAGCAGCAAGGCCTGACACAAAACATCACCCTTTGGCAGGACCACTGGAGAGGCAACCCCCCAGACCCTCGGGCAAAGCCCTTTGCTCTGAGCTGCTGACCTCAAGAAAAGAATTAAGTTCAAGTAAGATTAATCACACGCTTCTGTTTGGGAAAGAAGAGTGAACACAGAAAAAAGAAGACCAAGTAACTCAAGGGTTAGCCACCATATGTGTTTCAGGAAAATGTTAGATAAGGTTTGCAGTGTCATGCTGGAAATAACCATCATGCATTCTGAAAAGCATTATACCAATGCGTAACAATTTGCAGTTCTGTTCATGTTAAAGAACTTTGGTGACAGAATTAGAACAGGTGCTCTGCATGGATGTTTGAGACAAAAAATAAGTAAAGTGCTATATGTTGGTGTTTTTTTGTTGTTGTTGTTTTCTGTTTGTTTCACTCAAACATATTGAACGTAAGTCAGTCCCAAATTTATCTGTTTTCTAGTAAATCTTGAAAAGCACAGTGAAATAATTTCATAACACAGTTTAGAGAATACTTAGCAAACATCTACCAACACTTTCATCATCCAAATGCCTCTTTCCCAGCATGGCTTAACTGTCAAACAGATTAAACAGCAGTAAGTGAGATGACAGGCAAATTGAAGAGAGATGCACACGCTAGAATGGAAGAGTACTGAAGAGGGTGCCGGTTAGGTGGGACTCTTCTCCCACAAAGGAAACACCATGCATGCCTATGGCAGTGTTAGCACGTTGGTTCCTGAGATCCAGGGTGCACACATAAGTTGAGAAGGCCTTTCAGAAACTGAAGAGAGAGGACTGGGGGCTTTCTTGTCAGCTTTTTTTTTTTAGTCCACTGTTGTCTACCTTGGACCCTGTTTTATCTGAAATTAGAGTCTCAGGAGAAGGCTGAGGGGGACTTGGAGCTGAAGGCAGGTTCCTGAAGGAATAGGATCCTTTCCGGCTCTCATTAAACCAGGAGAAGGGCATGCAAGGAGAGCGAGCAGAGGGCTGATCTGCGGAGGGTGGCTTGGCTTTCCAGTTTTCCAACTTGCTTCTGAAGATTCTGTGATGTGAAAAGAATGGGCTTGTTAGACATAGAAATGGCAAAAGACATATTGAACCCAATTCCAGTGAGACTCTCAGTGTAAGGAAAGCGCTCTGAAAAACCGGTCTACTTATGGCAGTAAAGACGTATCGCTTCAGGCAATAGCATTAACCTCAACATTTACCTTTTTTACATTTAAATGGAATCTGTGACAACACATGGTTTTGTACTGCTATTTCCAAGACAAAAAATGTATTAAATGTGCCTTTCTAAGTGTGCATGGATGCAATAAAATAAGGGTGCTACAGCCTTTGGGAGACCCCTCTTAGGGCAGCCACCGCAGCAAGTCACACTAGCTCATAACCAGCATTCTTTCTACCTGCCTATGGATTCATGCTCCCAACATCTATGCCTGAGCCATCCCAGTGATCTGGTCACTTCAGGGCATGTTAAGCAGAACATGCAGCTTACTGGCTTCTCTTCACAGTCTCAGTGTCTTTACCCAGAAGGAATATAGGGGCTGAAGCCATCACGGGTCCCTTGGAAGCTGAGGGCCGATCATCTCCTGAGGGTGTGGCCTCAGGCCTTCTCTATCCTTCTGTTTCAATCTGTACAAAGTGAGTATGTTGATACAGCTCATATATGACTGGTATGGACTAAATAGGTTAACATTTGCTAAAGAGTCACGAAAGCTATCAGAGTGTAAATGTTCAGTCTAGAAATATTTAAAGATCCAAAAGCAGCCAAGAAACACAGTTTCTCTGTTTTACACTTGCTGGATGCACTTTCATATTTGTATTTATTTATTGGTCAAATGAAAACACTTGGCTAGGAGCTGAAGAAGAAAATGCTAGTGTGCATTTGGAAGAGGCCATCCTCAGTGTGTCCAAATGATACTGGATGGAAGCCAATTACACAGTAGCTGTTGATATTATGACAACAGGGACCCTTCGATTAAAAATGCCTTGATAGCATATACTTGGATATATACTTAGATTCCTTCGGGTATCCTTACACTTCATTTCAAGGGCATTTTGAAGTACAGTTCAAATTTATTGAAACAACGGTAAGTCCTAAAACTTCTGGCTTGTTTCTAAATAGTACTACAAGAACCAAATGCAACAATCCTCATGCAAGCATCCTGCAGACTGTAGGCAACATGCAGATGCAAAAGGTTATAGGAGTAGACAACAAGAATAGAAACATTGGTGACGTTTTGGTAAAACTGACTAGCAGGTAGGTGAATAAAATGATGGTCACATACAAGAATCCAGAAGATGTGATCATTTTAGTGAGTTTAAAAGTGTCGCTTTTTATTATCTACATCTTCACTTATCAAGATTATACAAAATGCAAATGTAACGGAAGTCATGAGAGAACAGAGCACATTAGTGATTACATGAGTCAAGTTGTGAGCTTCCCTGGTTCTACACACTTCAGCTTCCTCTCATGGTTCTTGACACTTTGAGACCTCAGCGTTATCACCCTTTGGTCTATACTGAGGAGAAGGATTCTGGCAACATAAATCTGGATGGCAATAAAGCAATGGGATAGATTTCCTCTTCGTTCATCTGGGAGAGGGGGAGAAATCTTAAGTCCTTAAGATAAACAATCCCGGTTGGAATGTGAATACACACTAATAAATACTTCTAGGAGGGAGATAAGATTAGAGACTCCAGCTTTAGCCCAGGGATCGACTAGGAGCTTTGTCATTCTGCCTGTTCCCACATCCCATTAAAATGTGACCCTGTGCTGCCTGGAGAGATAAATCTCTCACTATCTATCCAGGAATAACTTCACTTCTGTGCCTTGTCTTTAACTTAGTCCCTACATTCCAGTAAGAATGTCCTTAACAGCCTGTTCAGAAATACAAAAATATCTTCTCTGCAGTCCTACACCCTAGCGACTGGGCACATTCAAGGAAAAGCTGGTCTTGCGGGTCACACTCCCTTCCGGCTGGACAACGCTGAGGCAAGAAAAGTATAGTATTTAAATAGATCGCCACGGTCTGGGAGTTTACGAGGCAGCTATATAACTAAGGACAGCACGGCAACCTCACCCCCCTCCCAACTCAACTGTCTTAGTAACGACGGTTACTAATGACATTAAGGAGAAAGGGCAGGAAATCTGAATGCTGCTGTTAGCTAGCTTCATTTGAAAGGGACGTTAAGGGAGTCCAAACCCAGGGCAAGCAACACCTGGAAAAAAATTCGAAAGAGTACAGCGAATTAAAGCTCTCATAAAGTGCTCTCGGCCAGGAACATATTCAAGACTAATAATAAGAGTATGGATATATGCATCCAGCACTGAGGATGTTCTCCAGGCCAAGGTGCTCTTATAATGATGAGCAAGGTCACAGAAGCCCAGCCAGAGACTCTCTTTCTGCAGCCATACATACAAACATAATAGAAAGATGGGGAAAGAGCTGGCAGGAATCAATGGCAGGCCTGCTCACTTCCAGGGCAATAACCACTGTCCCACAGCTGAAAATCAAAAGATTCTGGAGTGAGGGTTTGTAGTTGTTGTTGTTTGGTTTCCTGTGTGTTTGTTTTTTCCAGCCCTCAATGAGCCTGGCTGTGCCCTGCTGCGGCTGTCTTCTAGCCCTACTATTTATTATCTATAATTTAAAAAATCCATGACTGTGTAACTAACCCCTGTGTCCAACCTTTATTCTCAAAGAAAATAACTCGTTTTCATTTGTCTGAACCTAGAGTAATACAATATTCATTAGGACACACAATACTCTATTACTCTAAAATTATAGACTCAACAGCATCAGGCATGTTTTTTTTTTTTTTTTTTTTTTTTAAACAAACACCAATTTCTTCCTGGATAAATTAAACCTACGAAGCCTACGAATCCTACGAAGGAGCAGAAAGGGTTTGGTAACTGGACTTGTATTTTGAATGCCTCTTTGCCTGTTTTTTTTCTGTGAAGAAAATGTCTGGAACAATACCATACCCTTCCTCCCCTCACTCTTCTTCTTCTTCCTCCCTCCCTCCCTCCCTCCCTCCTTCCCTTCCTTCCTTCCTTCCTTCCTCCTTCCCTCTCTTTCTTCCCTCTTTTCCTTCTTTCTTCCTCTCTTTTCTAAATCAGGTTTAGCAGAATGAATTTTTAATGGATCCAATTATATTTTTCACAGAGCCAAAGAAGCTATGTGCTCTGCACTTTTTCCACCTTTCACCTTTAGTGGCTTATCATTATCAAAGGCTTATCATTAAAACAAATAAAAATCACAAGTGTCTACCATACTTTATCCTTACGTGGTTTGTTATTAGGAACTAGAGAAAAACAATTGTCATAAAATTTAATTTTCATAACTCAAAAAATGTCATCGGATTAACCTTTCCTGGCAGTCAAATAAATGGTTATTTTGGACAATAACTTTATAGTGCAATTAACTCATATATTTATCTGAAATCCGTTTATTCTGGGGCTAGCACTCAAAATTTAATTTTTCGGTTAAATACCCTACAGTGGTGTTTGTCATTTTGATTCTGCAAATAAGGAATATGAAGTATTCAGCATTTAGTCAAATATCATCAAAATATCATTTACAGTTTATAAATCGCCAGGCAGAAAGAATATTAAGGACCACAGACTCATGTAAATTACGAAGGAAGCTACAGCTGTACCTGAGAAATGTGTGCAGACTTCCACTTGTCTATGTCAGATGGGGTAACTTTGACCTAACACCCGCTGATGAGACTGGAGCTGTGAGCCCGCCCCGGCTACTGGGGACTGAGATCCTGGTGGGTAGGATTAGAAGTATATGTCCCTCTGGTGCTCAGGCTCAGTTAGCCTGGACATCTACTCCCAGATCCAGAGCTCTGCTTGGAATTTCGGATCAGCAGCCAAGAGTCCATCTTAAGAGTCACACTTGACAGCTTAGCCCTAATTCCCAGGAGATGACCAAACAATTCCCTTTCCTCTGCAGGGTTTAAGTTGAAATTGAAAAAGGATCATGTAGATCCATGTTCTCAAAACACGTTAATTTCAGAACAATAAATCCATTGCTTAGGTACGTAATGAAGGTACGCTATTATAAATCTGACCAAAATGTGCCTTTTAAAATTTATTTTCATTAATTTTGGTGCTTGGGATTAAACTCAGGGCCTTGGGCATGCTAATCACATACTTTACACCTGAGATACACCCTTGAAAATTTAAACTCACATTAAGGATATAAACCTTTTTCCTTCTCCTTCCTTCTTCCTCCCCCCCTCCCTCCCTTCCTATGATGTACCCATATGTTCATATGCGTGTGAATGTATGTGTGTGGAGGCCAAGGGTTGACAGGACTGTTGTCTTTCTCTACCTTGCTCACCTTCTCTTTCTTGAAACAGGGTCTCTCAGTGAATGTGGAGTTCACACTCTGTTGCCTGGGGGGGGGGGGCAGAGGTGCGCCCGTCTCTGTTTTTCCAGTGCTAGAGTTACAGAAGTGCACGGCTAAGCCTGGCTTTTACATGAGTGTCAGGACCTACCCTATGTTTGGCTCTCATTTTCTGATTGAGCCATCTCTCCAGCCCACTACACCTCACTTGATACTTGTGTTCTTATATATAAGGTCAATCAAACCTATGAGAGTAATGAGATGCTTAGAGTCCCCTTATAGTTACAGATTTAACATAGGAATGTTTTAAAGAAAGTTTTTCTTTGTTTTGAAGCAGAGTAGCAAGTACCTACAGCTGGCCTTGAACTTGTTATGCAGTAGAGGTGATGATGTGGAACTTATGATCCTTCTGCCTCCACCTCCCTAGTGCTGGGCCCTCCAATGCATGGCCACCGGACCCACTTCAGAGACTGAGGTGAAACTTAGGATCCCATGTGTACCAGGCTAGCACTCCACGCACTGTGAGCTTTACCCCTTGTTTGTTTGGTTTTGTCTTTTACTTCATTCAGAAGTGTTTCATATGTACAGGCAATGGAGAGCTGTTGGAGGGTCCATCAGTTGGCTCTACCCTGGCCCAGCTGTTACTCAGAGGCTGCATAAAAGTGACTGCTCTTATCAGGGCAGGGTGTGCAGAAAGAGAAGGATGAAATCATTCTCTGTAACAATTTCCTCCCAAGCACAGGTGGGAATATGACAATATGTCAGCTTCCTCTGAGAAAAATGGCATGAGCAGTGGTCAGTAATAAAACTACTAGATGGGAAATTAAAAAATTAAAAGGAGGCAGATTTCAATCACAATAATGGGACATCTTGAAGCTGCTTCTAATTCATCTTTAAGCACTGGCTTCCCATTGCTAGATTAAAAACAAACCAGCAGAAGCCTCGTGTGTAAGTGATGAAGATGCGTGGGCTGCTTGGAACCATAGCAAGAGCCAATGGCAGGGATTTTAAACCTACCATAAAGCTAAAAGAGATACTGGTGACAGAAAATACAATTGCCAAACCCTTTCTGGTCTGAAGCTATGGAAGCTAAAAGGGAAACTGATTTCATTCCTTATTCTCTCAGTCCCATTCTGAGGTCTAGCTGATACAAAGCAGCTCCTAGCTGATGACACTGTTGAGCCACATACTGTAATCATTAAGTATAAGACTATCACTGACAAGGCCGCATTGCCAGCGGCAAGTGATCAAAGAGCAGGTAACTGAGTCCATGACAGAGGCAGCCCCTGCCCCCTTACTCGGGTACTCACATGGAGACTGAGCTGCCTATGGGCTTCATCTGAGCAGGAGGTGTAGGTCCTCTCCATGCATGGTCCTTGGTTGGTGCATCAGTCTCTGCAGGAGCCCCTGGGCTCAGATTTTTTAGCTTTGTTGGTCTCCTTGTAGAGCTCCTGTCCCCTCCATGTCTTTCTATCTCCCCCTTCTTCCATAAGACTCCCTACCCTCTGATCAAAGTTTGGCTGTGAATCTCACATCTGCTTTGATACCCTGCTTTCAGAAGACCCTCTATAGTAGGCTTCCATTCTGTTCCCTCCACAGAGAAAGACGATCCACGCAGTCCTGATGAGACCTGATAAGCTATGGGCAGATGGCAGGAGAGGAGAACTCCCATTTCAGTGGACTAGGGAAAAGGAGTAGGGAGGAAGAGGGAGGGAGAGTGGGGCTGGGAGAAGGGGAGGGAGGGGGCTATAATTGGGATATACAATGAAAAAAAAAAAAGACTATCACTGAGATGCCCCCATGTTTGTTCTTGAAGTATTTTATCAATAAGACCAAGCCCCTACACACGGGACTCAGCACCAACCAGCGGTGATCTGTCTGGGCTCAGCCCAAGCACACATAAGGCGTCTTCCTGCTTACATTCATGTGTTCTGCTAACAGGTGTGCATTTGCACACCTTGGAGGGCTGTCAAGCTGGCCTCTGCCTTACCCAGCAGCAGGGCAAAGCAGTCCCTCAGGCACTTGCATAGGATCCACTCCTGGCATGCCATGTTATCTAAAGATTTTGAGAGGAATATCATCTATGAAAGACTGCCTGCTGTTCAATTTGTTGAGCCACTGGCTTTCCAAGATATTATGGAAGCCATCCTTGCACGGACAAGCCTGTTAGCATAATACATGCAGAGAATGCTTTAATTCTCTCCAAGCAAACTTTCTCTAAATATTGGGAGTGATGATAGCAGCAATGTCTGTATGTTAAATGTGACCCTCTCAGCCTTCCCAAAAGTCTGCAGATCACTGCATGAGTAATAGCTGTGTGACTGCATTTTCAGATGAGAAAACCGAGCCAGAGATAGCTTAAATAACTTGTCTAAGATAAAAGGCAGAACTGAGTTTTGAATTTAGATTTTGAACTTTGACCTATGCCCTTCATTTTTTCATTAAGAAGCTAAGACGGTACTTACTATGAAGTTGTTGCTGAACATGACGCAGTTTAGGTACCACATAACTGTACTTTTTCCATTATCTTTTCCCCACGTAGTTTACTTCAAAATAAATTATGTTGCTAAAGATGGACTTAGGAGTGTAAACACAGTATTTTGAAAATAAAAGTAGACTACACATAAAGAATGTATGGACACATATTAATTACAGGCCAACATAATAGTGATTTAGAATCTAAAGAACACTCAATTTTCATAGAACCATACAGATTAGAGCCATATTAATAGAACACAGTGTGAGTGACATGTAGAAGTAAAAATTTTCTACTAGCCTCATGAAAAGATACAGATAAAACTAATTTTAAAAGTAAATGTAGCTACAATTCCAAATCTAAAATAAAGCATTTTACTATATAATTGATATCATAAAAACCAAGTGGTTTAGAATTCCTTTTCACGTTAAGTCTTTGAAGGAGGTGTGCATTCTCTGCTATGGCGCATCTCACTGTAGACCAGGTCAGCAACTGCGGCTGACCAGTGGCAGCAGAGAGAGCCAGCTCCCGAGCTAGACGCCACGCCCTTACAGTTTGGTCGGAAGCCAAAGCCAGGACTTACCACCTCGGGTTGCATCTCAGGCTTCTTTTCACTGTTCATAACTTTAAGGCAAATGCAAATCACTTCCAAAGAGGAGAGCCATTTTCCTTCTCTGTCACTTCCCCAACACACCATCATCTAACTTGTCAGACACACACACACACACACACACACACACACACACACACACACACACTTCCCTGCTGAATCTAAACGGGCCTCTCAACAGTGTTCCACACAGGTGCTTTGCTAACACTAACCAATGTCCACCTCTCTACAGTCCAGGATGGCCTATGCCTCAGGTATGTCCCTCTCAGTGCTAAACAGGCTCTGCTCACCTGATGCTTCTTCTCCTTGCTCTCTCCTATAGTGCTTGTGCAAATCAGAATGTTTACTGTGCACAGTAAATCATATTTCTTCCCTGGGATTATTTATTATGGTCATTATACCCATCTATTTTTCTCTATGTGTCTCCTGCTGCTCATGTATCTAAGTTATTATGTCCACACAAGAAACACAGCAGAGTAAACTCTGGGGAAGGCAAAGTGACAACCAAGACTAAATTTAGTGCAAGTCTTATTCTTTCAGGTCTAACAGCTACAAGTCGAGCTGACTGATGCCCTCTACTCATTCTAACAACCTAATAGGGACTCCACAAAAGGCCTGACAGATAGGGTTATCAGCCTGCTCGGAGGCTCTCTGCGGCTTTTTCTGAGAAAGCTGCATGGGGGAGAGTACATTCTCTGTTCTTCTCTGTGACAGCCCTGGGGTTCTCCCCGCAGCTGGTGACGTGTGTGATCCCCACCTGTGGGTCCTCTGGGGCCAGCTGTGTGAAGCGCCTACAGGGTAGTTCCGTTCTTCTGGGAATATGTCTGAGATGTTCTGGGTCCATTATCAGCCCACAGAGCAGAACAGGAGCTGACCTGATCAGTGTTACCCAATTACTCTGACACCTCAAAATTTGTTTTCTGAAGCAGGAAAGTTCTCTCTTCTCTTGTTTTTCTATTTCAATTATATAAACTCTTTTCTTCATCCCACTAAAACTCTACTATAATTACTGATAATTGTAAAATTACAATTCTAATAGCAAACTATTTTTGGTGTTGGTACATGTAGAATTACTTGTCTCCAATGAAGCAGTGGGAATTAAGAATTAATATTTCATGAAGACAGAGCTGGAGACATACAGATGAGCTAGCAGCCTGGGTATGGTTCAAAAATGGCCGTAACTGTGGTACACAAGGTATTGGTGACACCACCTCTAACTCACTCTGACTTCTTCTATAGTATAGCCAGGGCCCAACAACACTATGAGCACCTGCAACCCAGCCAAACACGCTCTCTTCTGCAAGCATCTATGCTTAAGCTCCTCGAGGGCTGAGCTGGAAGCTGAGAGGACAAGACTGCTGTGCTGCTGAAATATCGCAGGACGGCCAGCACCCTCCCACAGGCGGGTTCCCTCTCTATGACTTTGCTCAGCTCCTGCTCTCCTGGAAGGGGCTTCGTTATTTTTCTAAGTATGGTCAATAGCATTTCGTTTTAAGGTACAAAGCGGTATTTTTATTCTTTTTATTCTTACTTTAAAAATGCAGAGTTAAATTGCTTCTGAGTTGCTTATAGTCTCACACGTGTCTAATTTTCTCGAGATTCCCTCAAAATACAGAGGGCATTCTATCCGTTACCCACTGTAGGACAAAAATGAAAACCAGACTCAAAAAAACTAAGTTTGGAATTCTCTCTCCTTACTCCCAATTCCAGTTTCTTACCAAGCAGCATTGCAAAGGACGGATATATGATAAAGAGTCGGGGACAACCTATGAATTGGGCAAGTGGTCTCTAAGCAAGTCTTTGTCTCTTGGGATTGGATTTTCTGTTTCTTCTCTAGTCTATGACAGTGAGAGTAGCACTAAGAATTACTGTCACCATTGTGATGAAGTGCAGTCATTATTAAATATGCTGGCACAGTATGTTGGAGAGGCATCTAGACAAGGCCCATCATGCTCCTCACTGACTTCTGCTGTTCAAAACTTAGTTCTTTATAGAAAATTTTTACTGAAAAGTAAGTATAGTCAATAGTGCTTGCAAGTCCAGTAAACAGCTGGGTCCAGAAAGAGATGGTGGCCATTCTTACAGGCTGCCAACACGGTGCCAAATGCAAAATTACTCCATTAGATGAGGATGTGGGGAGATAAAAGGCATTAATTAATATTGTGAATAGCTAGGCCAACAAAGTAAAACAAAAACCAAGAACCAAACAAACCCATCACAAAAATAAACAAGTAAATAAGTACATGATGAAATTGTTCACATGACTGTAATTCCACAGTTACTGGCCAGTGGGGTCAAAGCTATAGCTGAAGATAGCCATAAACTAATGGTTCAGTTTTTCTCTAAGCACAACTCTGGGTTCTTCAGGGGTTTAGAAGCAGTGACCACTGAGCTTGGTTAGCAGTAAAAGAGGGCCAGAGAGTTAGCTAAAGAAATAATTGTATATTCTTAATCACCCACCCGTACCTGCTACCTGCAGAAAACCTACTGGCTTCCTTTTCTTTTTCTTTCCACTTCTTCCCCTTGTTGGGGTTCCTTCGCAAAGGTGCCCTACAACAACAACATATAGTCAGAGAAAGGAAGGTAGCACCTCCTTTAATCTTCCCTTATGGAGAACTACTTTTCCAGAAGGAAGTGCTTACCCCAGATCCACAAACTTCTGCTTAAATTTTCCTCCTTGTACCACGAATGAACTAGATGATCTTAGTGACTTAGGAGAATTGGCATCCTCTAGGACACAGGGAAAAGATCAGTTATTTTTATATTTTAAGCCACAAATCAAAAGTCAATGTATCTCTGAATCTAAGGGTTTTGCTTAAATTCTTCAATGTATAAGAGCATGACTGTCCTGTATACAAGATAAAAAACAAAGCAAAACAAGAACAAACAAACAAACAAAACCCTCAGCCATGGTGGGAAACATTCAGCAAAGTGGGATATTGACAGCCTCATACACACAGGGATGAATGATATGAGCAAGAATCCTTTCACTTTAAGCAGGCATGGAGGCAGCTCTGCCCTATCTCTGCTGCTACCCTAGGCACTGAAAGATGGGCTTCTTCACAGGTTTCTTGGTTTTGGGTTTTCCTGCCTTCTAAGAAACCCAGATGAATCTCAAATTGCAGGCATTACGAAGGTCTGGAAGCTTCAGAAAGCATCTTAAAAATAGAGATTTTTTCCTTCTAAGCATTCCCATACCAGTGGGCCTATGGCCAGTTCTAAGACAGGACAAGGCAGAACCTGGGGCACCTTCTTAAGCAGAAGTCAAATATATCTTTTGAACGAGCTTTTTTTTTTTAATGTGAGACAAATTTTTTAGGCAGTAGTCATATATAAGAATACTTAAGAAAATGACAATTTTCATGATAAGCCCTATACTCCAGCTGGCTCATTGTTTAAAAGAATGTTATTGAATACAGCACAAAAGAAACAAGCATATTATAATAATTATAATTATAGCTCATTATTTAAAAATTTTCATTGATCACAGCACAGATAGAAAAGCATGTATAAATTACATCGTATTATATATCTCTCAGTAGATGCATATTGGAATCAGAGGCTGCTGAAGAACAATTTGTAAAGCAGTTTGAATGAGTTTTTTAAGAGTTAGTCAGAGCACGACTGTCTGTCCTACCATGATACCAAGGATGTTCACGTCTTTCAAGGACTTGAAGCTGACTGAGTGGCACCTTCATAAATGATGCCGGGACTCTGCAGGGTAGCAACTATGGAATATAGGACACCAGATATGACATTAGTCAGAAGAAAGCCTTGACAATGGGGTTCGGTGTTTCTACCAGTGTCACGTACTCCACGTTTGGCAAGGCCGGTGAACTCTGCAGCAGAGACTGCTGCATGGCACACTGCGGCCTACCCAGTCATCAGGGTGACCGACAGGTACTGCTTTAAAATGGATGTGTTTATGTGTGCAAGCTTGCTTCTTGATTGCTAGTGTTAGCCTTTAGCTTGATCCTTCTTTCTAATGTCTAGGTATTCTGGCATGGAATGTGTACAAAGCAGACATCCCAAGACAGTGTTCAATGAACTTTATGGGTTATTTGTTCATGATTTTTTGTTTACCTCAGGACACATTTCTAAACAGACGCTAGTACCTAGTTCCTGTTCAGAAGTGCAGTTCCAAGTCCCCAAAGCAGCACACAGGCAGACACTCTAAGATTCCTAGCTGTAAGTTTTTCATATTGTTAGTTAATGGTTCTCAGCAGATTGTAATAATTCTTTGAAATGTACATGATGAAATACTAGAGTCCGAAATATGCCTGTTTTAAAAATTCACTTCCTGCTTCAAATATTTATTATGACTATTTGCATCATTATTCTTCCAGTAACTGAGTTAATCAGCCATAGGTGTGACACATACTCATTTAAAAAAATGGATACTTTCTAAGGTGATTTTGTTAATGGATACTTAAAAAAAAACAGGTTTCCAATTTTCTTATAATAGAAGCCAAAGAAATAAATGAGATAAAAATTTTCCATATCAATCCTAAAGAACTCTGAAGGGCTAGGACAGTGTGAAGTTAAAAGGAGTCTGCTTAATTATTTTCTGAATTATGGGTAACCGGAAGATGTTTTAATGAGTGGAGAGATGAACAGCTGACACAGTGTTCATGGAGACTCTCTGTAACCTGTTAGTGTTGTAGTTATTTGGACATCTTAGGACTAAAAGCCTGATGATGCCATTACAGAGCTTGCTGCTAGGCAACCCAACATCATTATCTCACACATTTGCCAAAGCATTTCAAGGAACACTGAAATGAAGAAGCAAGATTAAAGAATAGTGTCCCTTACCATTTAAATCAGTTAAATTAATTTTTAATATATGTCAGAATGTTGGGTCTGCATAAAACTCAATACAGTGTTGCTGTGAGCCAAGGAAAGGCAGACATTACATTTTTGCGTCATATTTACTTATTTAAGTGTTATGAGATGTCCATGAGGTTTTAGAAACTGCCCCAGTATGACTTTTGTGACCGATCAGAAGTTCAGGCACTCAGGTCAAGTGCTTTATCTTTAAGCTTCAACAACTTGTCTCTTTCCCAAACTACATGCTCTCCTGACTTGAAGAGCTTTCTGGAGGTCATTTGCTCAATGAGACTCTTGACTGTCCCTTTTTATCTGATGGGAATGTCCAGATCTATCCCTGACCTGGCTTCTGTCCTGGATTCAGGACCTCCTCTATTTAAACAGAGATCAATCACATTTCCCATACAATATCTCCCATGTCTTACTTTCTGTTTGTGTTAAACAAGCGTTCTGGAGCCACAAGCCCTGTGTTGTCTTGCTTGCTTCTCCGTATTAGCTGGCCATTGCAAGTTTCATGGTGTTCCCAAGCACCCTGCTGCAGCGTCTTCCCGCTCCGTCTCCCCGTGCCCACCATCCTTCTCTTTCCATTCTCTTCTCAGAATGGCCTGTGGTTGCCTAGTAGTATGGTGAAGTCTCTAAGCTATTATCTAAGATATCTACTGTCTAAGATATGTAGAGCCATAGACCTATTGGCTTCTATACCCAATCTCACTATCTTGAAGAAATGAACAGTTCAGCCACGGAGACAGCCCATTCCTTTGAATCTCTGTGTGTGTTTGCACGCACCAGCACTCTACTTCCATGCTTTCTTACCCATCCTTTCTTCTTTTTAAAGTCCTTAGATGGTTACTTTATTTACACTTTCTGTGTGAAGTTACCAAACACAGCATCATGTATCTTCTCCAGTCTCAGCAACCGCACAGTATTATAGTTAAACCCTAGAGGCCTAGTGCTGTATACGAATAAGAAGGGAATTGTGTCAAGACTTTGAAGAGCTGGATTCTAGTTTAGGATGATATTAACTCTACAAAAGTTTCTGAAAGTGCTGCATGTCAGGTAGTGTGTCAAAAGTCCCACCGAAGTTTAGAATACTAATTTCTAAAGTTGAGTAGAAAATTGATAGTGGATTCTTAATTTATTGTAATTTATTTGTAGTTTATCTTGACTGGACAGAGGCTCACTGGTTTGTAAGTCTAGAGACAAAATCTGAGTATAGGATGTTTTTTTGTAGGGGAGACAAGAAGCATTTTCATGCCTCTTGTGGTCACAGAACCCTGTTTTACAACCCTCTGGAGAGATAGTGGGTTTGCTTCTAAGGCTAACTTCACTGGCATTCAGTTACAGATAAAACCCTGAGATAGTGCTTATGAGACTCCTCCTGTCTCTTCCAACAATAGAAATTGATGTCCCTCAAATATTAGGGAAATGATGACATGCAATGGAGACACTGACACACTTAGAAAACTTTAATTGCAGTAGGGTCACCAGAGGGTTCTCCTTAGGGGTGCAATAAAACATGGGCTTTATTTGCCATCTTTGTAAGTAACTCAATAGATGGAAAGTCTGTTGGCAACCAGTGACTAAGCCACCTCCAGAGTTCATAAAGCAGTAGTAAGGTGAAGCATACTTCTAGGACAGCAATCAGGAAGAGGCTACTCTGCCCTCATCATCCCTCTCCAATGGGCCAGAGACTAAATACTTTGTATTTTATGTTAGGAAGATGTTCAGTCTCTCTCTCAATTACCCTGCTGTGCCGTGACAGCTTGAAGGATGCTATGTGGCTGAAAAAGCATGGCTGCATTCTAGTAAGACTTCCTTTGTAAAACAGGTGGCTGTTGGGTTTGGCTGGCAAGTTAATTTGGGTGACTGCTGTGCTTGTGCAGACAGCCAAACTTAGAAATGCGTCTAGAGACTTGCCCAGCACCAGTTATTTGCTCTACTCTTTCTGAGAAACCAAGAAGACAAAAAGTAGTAAGGGAAGTAAGAAAATGCTGCCTTATACTTTACACCTAACTACGTCAGTCATTCTGCAGAAAGGGACAGAGGCAGGAGTTATCAGTGAAAACCACGGTGGAAAGTGGATTGGGTGCCCCAAGGCCAAATTGAGGAGGTGAGATTTATGCTAGGTGTAATGCTAGCCAAGAGTATAAACATGAGGTCAAATTTGTACCTGGGAGAATTACAAAGACCTTTTTAGTTCTCTCACTGGGAAACCAGTGAGAAGGGCCATACAATGAGGATCCCAGAAGCTAGTCGCACCAGAATTTTTAAGACTAGCTTAGATTAGTGGATCTGTCTCACACAGCAAGGAATGCAAGGAGCTGCCGAACTTGTGCTCTGGAGTTTTATTTCAACGAAGGAGCATCCCATTCTGTTAACATTTGTTGTATCCAGCCTTGGCAATCATCAAAAGGGAGCATGGGATTGCTTTAATGTTTGCATGACACCTAGATCTGTTTATTGGGAACTGGGTGGAAAAATCCTGAGGCATATGAAAAAGCTTTACTCGGTAAGTTCATCACTACACTAACAGCTCACTCTGTGTGGATAGCCATTAGTCTGATTCTAATTTTATGCTCACTGAGTAACTTTCGGATTTTTGAATCCTCCACCTAGGAGGGAATGGAATGACGGTAGGTTAGGAGTTATTACATCAGCTGATCCTCTCAAAGTAAGCCAAAAAAGTACTATTTTGGTACAGAATGTTTTCAAGCTTTTTAGCCACATGAAGCAGCATTGTGACCTTGATTAGATGTGTGTATATTGGGGGTCTAGAAAACTGATGACCAGAACTCTAATTCCTCATGCCACTGTTTAATAGCCAGCCACTGGGTGAGATGGTTCTGTGCGACATCTTCCAAGGTGCGGAGAGCCTGAGAGTAGAATGTCAGGAAAGCAAAGCATGTTCCTACATGTTGATTGTGGCATGACAAGGGATCCCAGAGAGGACAAGTCTGTCACCAAACAAGGCTGGGGTTGGGGTAGAGAGAGAATGAGCAGCATGCACACACATAAGGAGAATATGAAGGAGGGACGGCAGACATGGACTCTAGCACACAGTTCCTCAAGGGAATGGACGCACTTCTGATTATCACTGAAACACATCTAGATACGTATTAGGTACTCAGCAACTATGCAATGAACATGGGAATAAATGTGAACGAACATGAAGGCAGAGGGAACTTTAAAATACAACTTTTAACAAGAAAAAAAAAAAAAGAATGAGGTGCCAACATACTCTTATGTGGTCAGTTAGAATGCGATGGGTAACCTTGTCACCTTGATACATCTGGAACTGGGATCAGGTTCGTGGGTTACTGCTGTGACACAGCTGGCCATACTGCTTTTGGAAGGATTGGAGAACTTTAGGCTACAAATACCATTGGGTGTTACAAGCTCAGTGAGCTGAGCTGTGGGAGTTTGGGAGATAATGTTGAGCAGCACTCCTCCATAGCATCTGTGTCTAGATTTGTGACCCGTGTCTCTTGCCCTGACTTCACTGGAGAATACACTTTTATCTGAAAGTATAAGATGACATAAACCCTTTCCTCCACAAGTTGCTTTTGGTCATGGTGTTTTATCACAGCACTAGAAAGCCCAATCAAGACAGTACGTTACAGCAGCTGTCCACCTGTCTGTCTGTGGCACAAAGCTGGTACCACACAAGTGCTCACCGAGTTTCTTTATTTAGTTATCCAGCGGTCTGGTCAGCTCAGGAGAAGTTAAGAAGGGCAAGCACAAGCTCTCAGTCTCTGGAGAAGAGAAAACCTGGTCCTTCTATGGTTCTGATTCATTCCAAAGGAGCACAGGCACAAAGAAGGCAGTACTGTGGAAATGGAGAGGTTCTGTCTCTCCTGCCCTGTTACCACCAAGAGCCTATGAAGCTCAGTTCACGTCGGTGTACTACTCTTCTGCTAACCTCAAAGCAGTCATCAATCAGAAGGAGGGCAGAGTAAACCCAGACTGAGGACAGGGCTGCTGTTAAAAGTCCCCGTGAGTTTTCCGGGGCAGAGATCCCTGTCATGCCTTTATATAACAACATGTGGGGCTAAGATATGGTCCAAAGGTAGAAAGATTGCTTGCCTAGTCTGTGCAGAGCTGTGACCTCAATCTCCAGCACTGCAAACAACCAAACAGAGCAAACAAACAACAACCCTGCCCTACCAAACAGACGCTATGTCTCACAGACTCACACAGAGGGACTCCAAGCAGCAGCAGCTCCAGAGACCGAGCTTCTGCCTTGGTCTTCTTCTCCCAACAACTACCCGTGGTGCTTAGGAGACGCTTACTGGAAGTCTGGCTCTATGAAGGTACTACCACAACCACGCTTTAATTAACGAAAGTTTTGGAACCTTTTAACTCTTTAGGAAAGAAGCCAACATCACAGTCACACTGTTCACCATGCTGACAATCATGTTTGATGGTTTGGTGGGCCTGACAGAATTTTCTTGCCTCTACCAGCGTTCTGTGCTACACACTCAGTGTCTGCCTCACAGATGGTGCATGCAGGGTAGTGGGCAGGCCTGCTCTTTAAAAGGTGACTCTAGCTGACCACAAGTCACAGAGCACTGTGGACTGAGGGATTGGCTGGGTTTCTGTGTCCACAAGGATCTGTGGGAAGCTTGTCATTTATGACCTGGCAGGGACAACGCCTGTGGAAACTTCAGTGTACAGTGATGTGCAGTTGTACCCACAGGGCATAAATGTGGTACGTTCCACAGCTGGTGTTCCTGGCAGATCCCTTCCGTCTACTCTGAGTATCTGACAATTAATTTAAAGTGTTTTCTCTCTGATCACGAGTTGACACTGCTCTCCCTTTCATATCATATTAACCAATGTAAACCTTCTCCTCAGGAAACTGAGAGTCAAGTTCCTCAGTCTATTTTCACTTTTTAAAAAAGAATCAGTTTTTTTGGAGTTACTTGAATGCTAAAAGACCACCCGTTAACTTTGTATGTTCGATGATTTTTGACAGCTAAAATCCATAATATTCGCGTTGTAGTTGTAGGCATATGGTACTAAAGTCAACAGAATGGCCTGTTGCTTCCCCTTCCTCTAAAGCAACATAGAGGAATGAGATCTCTATATTCTTCCCATGGCCACTTTCTGACACCCCGTCTAGGTAGCAGACTTTGTCATTCCCATTTGCAATCCAAAATTTGGTCTATATCTATCTCTAAATAATCTGTCATCTTTGCTCTCTATAAATATGACTAGAGAGCTCGTTCCATCTTCTTTGCCCAGTTGATGTCTCGTCCTAGAGATTCTAGTTATATTTTTGTAGTTTACTCAGTTTCCTGCTGTTTGGATCCATTACTCAAATCCACTGCCAACCATTTATCCATGTTACTAGTTTTGTTTGTTTGTTTTGTTTAAATTACACAGCATGATTGCCATGATTGCTCCCTCGCCCTGTGTGTGCATATGAACTGCAGAAAATGATGTCAACTGTCTTTCTTCAGTTCCTTTCCATCTTTTTTTATTGAGACAGCATGGATCATTGAACTTGGAGGTTACCGACCTGGCTGGATAAGCTGGCCAGTGAGCTCCAGAGATATGCCTGTATTCACTCAACTTCCCAAGGCCCCAGCACTGTGATTACAAATGTATGCCACCATGCCCAGCTTTTACTTGGATGCTGGGAATCAAAACTTGGGTCTACATGCTTGGTGGCAAGCATTTCATTAATGGAGACATTTCTCCGGTCTCCCTTATGAATATATTTCATAATATATTGTATATATTATATATAACTGTGTATATAATTCTTAATAGACAGATACAGGGTTTCACTTAGTTACACATATAGAGACTTGTTGTATTTAAATATTTATGTACATATATTCCTAGAGAGGTGCCAACAAAATATGACTTGTAAAAAAAAGTTTCAGAATCTCACTGATTAGTAAGAGTGTTTTTTTTTGTAAAAAATGCAAGTATATAAACCAAAACATATAGACATCAAAATAAATTCTGTTCTGTATGCATGTATAAATTAAATTGCTTATACAAAATGTAGCATAACCAATATTACATTGTTACCATAAAGAAATACATCACATGTAAAGGGGGGAATTTAATGCTTTATACTTCCCTGCACTGTTCAATTTATCTGAACATGTATCTAATGCTTTTATATACCAAAACAAATAATTAAAAGACAAGTATAGGGGATCGAGAGTTGGCTCAGTAAAGAACACTGGCTGCTATTGTAGGGGACCGGGTTTAATTCCCAGCACCCACATGGTAGTTCATAACCCTCCATAACTCCAGTTCCCAGAATGTGATGTCTTCTTCTAACCTTTGAGGCCAATGCATACATATACATCCAGGCACAGCGCCCATGCACATAAAATAAGAAGAAACATTTTTAAAATTCAAGTCTATTAACTCTACTTTGAAGTTCAAGCTTAACTAGATGAGCCTGTTTTGGCTCGTGACTACCTGCTCTGTGTTTATCTTTACCATTGCTATCCTGTCACACACACTGCAATGTTAATCAGCATCATGATTATTATAATGATAACCATCACCATCAGTACTAGGAAAACTTATATAAATAAAAATCTACTAGTTGATGATGGCTTACATCACTCAATCTTCACATTTCCCCTCACGTGGCTGTTAGTGTTCCTGGAAACTCCAGGCTCTAGTGTATACAATCTTTTGACAGTTTTCAGAACATTCCCTTCATAGTTAATTTTGAGGAAAGCTAAAGAGATAAAAGTCTAAAACTAACAGGCAAAACTAAAGACAAACAAAACAAAATACATGGAAGTGGGAACTCTCTTATCCCTTAAGGCAGAAGGAAAGCAGTACTATAAGGATCTATGCCTATGAGAAAAATCTAGTTTCATACAGTACAAATTGAGGTATTAGTGATATCAGAACAAAGAGAAGTGGGAAAACAAAACAAAATCCAAATACCTTTCTCTTGTAGTGTTTTCTTGGTGGCTTGGCGGTGGCAAGGAGAATCTTCCTGATCGTGATCAGATTTTGAAGGTGAGGAGGGCGAAGTGTCTCCCGAGACAGAGGAGAAAGGGTCCCTTTCTGGCTGCTGTGATCCTTCTTGAGACTCAGTCATGTGGGGAGATGAGAAGGCCCTATGGCTAGCCACAGGGGTGAGGAGTGTGACGCCAGACTCTGATTCTGGAGAAGAAACTCTCCAACCCTTGGGCAGAAGCGATTTGGTAACGTGTGGTTATAGAGACTTCTTGCTGGTGCAAGAAGTGACAGAGCAAATTCTGCCTCCAAGTGCTGTGCACCATTTACTTCGCAATGGCCCCGCCTTTCCTCAGGGAAAGGCACTTCTGTTTGCCAGCCTATCGCTGATAATGCACAGTTCATAACTACTCACCAAATAAACAATGCAGCTAACACAGGCACCTGAGACATGTAGAAATGATTACTTGGATGCTCATTATTTCCCACTAGATTAAAACAACTACATTAAAAGCTGAATAGCAAAGGCACCGTCACGAAATATGGCAAAATGGGTAACGCTTTTGGCTACTTTGTTGAATAAAAGAGAGAATAATTTAAATGACAACCATATAGCAAATAGAACACAAATTCAGGAGACAAAGACATAAACTGTTTCAGTTCTTTTCGGTTCTTTTCAAGATGCACACTCTATCAGTAAAACAGCTCACACATTGAATACAGTGGTGGACAATGACACTCCTGGCACTAAGAGTGCTCACCTTTCGCTCCAGGCTGTCCTCCCCATCAGTCGAGCTGACACTGTCATAGAGCCGCGTCCTCGTGGGCCGCTGACGCCTGTTCTTCACAGAGAGCTGGGCCCGAGTTTTCAGTGCTTTCGAATCTAGACGCTCTGTCTCAGGCACTGCTTCGTTGAAGTCTAGAAAGAGGATTGCAAGGTGATCAGTGAGAGAGTGCTGCAGCTGATGGGCAGAGACCACAGACACTGACATCCAGCCCCTGGTTATGGTGACAAGGAGAACAGGTGCCAATTTTTCCAGCTTGTCTAATATTCCACACTGACAGAGCATAAAGCCTTTCTGCAGCACAACTATAAAAAGCAGCGGTCTGCATCAGCTTATGGACACACGTGTTGGGGCGTCTGATGAGCGAGTTAACAAGTGTGGTTAACACAAGGTGAGCACAGATATTCACTAATAGGCTGAGCCACTTTGGTCTTTACGGTGTCGGAATATCTAATTTGTTCCTCTTTAAACTCTGTTTAAAAAAATAAGCTAGAAAAGAATTTGTTAATCCCAGCAAATCTGAGATGAATCTGTTTCCTTAGAACAACGTGTGGCTACACAAACAGCTTAACTGCCAAGTGTGTAACTCATGGCACTATGAACGTAGAAGGATAAAGATGCCATCTTCCAGCATTACTTTCCAGCATTCCAAGCTGTCAATGCCCGTTTCACTTCTTTCTCTGAATACTTTCTCTTCTAACCACAAACCACATTGGTTTTCCATAGCAAAATGTTCACTTCTTAAGATAAAAGGACGTCAAGATAAAGAGCTGGAGAAGAGCCTCGACAGTTATGAGCATTTGTTGCTCTTATGGAGGACGTAGGCTCAGTTTCTAGCACATGTACGGCAGCTTTCAATCGGATCCAGTCCCAGGGGATCCGATGCCCAACACATTAGGCACATCTGTGGCACACAACACATACACACAGGCAAAATGGACACATAACTTTTAAAAAAAATTAAAAATAAAAATGACTCCAAGAGAAAAAGACCAAGTAAGAAAGAGGGAAGAAACAGAGTGAAACAAACAGGTAATAAATGATAGCAACAGCAGTTGGTCATGGCAGAACTTGACTGTCATCCCAGCACTTTGGAGGCTAAGGTGTTGAAAACCATTCTGAATTCAAAGCCATCATGTGTGAGTCTCTTTCAGAAAACCTCCAACCCAATAAAGGATGAGAGAGAGGTGGAAGGGGAGGAGGAATTAGAAAGGCTAACAAGAGCATTCCAGTGGTCCTCTTTATCTAGTTCTTGACACTCATAATATTGTTAGGTATATATGGGGGAAGAGGAAATTTACGTATGAATATACTGACTGAGGCGGTAGTACATGAGTTTTGATTAGAAAAAGTATTTATTTATCTTTACATAGATATACATGATCACTCAGTGTAAATAAAATAGTTTGATGATTAATCACCTCTCATCTTTTCAGTATAGCAGTCATTAAACAAAGTCACTTCCAAGAAATCAATTAAGTGGTCCAGGATTTAAATTATTAAAAATAAGCAAATAACTCAGTTATGCAAAACCAATAAGCACTTGTATTAATAGAAAGATTTTTTTTTAAAAGAATATTTCTTACAACCATCATTGGCCCAGGCAATTTCTTTGTATCGCATCACTTTAAAGATGTGCTTTAAGCATATTATAGAACACAAACATCAGAAGGACCTCAAGTGGTTTCTCTCTTCCTTATAAAACTGAGCACTTGGCATAGAGTTCTAATAAATAAAACTCGATGTGCTTTTGCCCAAGAGACACGTTGCTGAACAGCAATATTTACAGAAGGCTTGGCTCTTGGGTTCCTAAACTTGAGTGAAGAGTGGACATTTGGAGAAGTCGGGCCACTCAAGTGAATATAAAGAATAACTAGATGTTTTCTAATTAGTAGTCTCTTCACTTTTACATGCCGATGGAGGAAAAAAGAGTCACCTTCATCACTTTAATTTCCTCTCTCCAATAAAATCCATATTTGCAGCTGCCCATTAAGAGTTCATTAGTTGTGATAATTGGGAGAAAGTCAACCTTACAATCTCTGTTTACATATAAGAATGCAGAACACCACACAGATGAAAGCAATAATATAATTAAAAGTAGCCCAGTTCATGCACATCCTCCGTCTTTTCTGTCTAGATGTTGGACTGCATGCTCTGAAATGCAAAGCACTGTCACGCGCTCCACCTCATTTGTTCCTCATTACAGACCCACACGACAATAAGCAAGCAGGTTGTTTCCTCTCCTGAAGCTCAGAAAACTGGAGTAGCTTGCCCTCCTCTCACAGCTGGCTGATGAATTGCTTTGATTATTCTAGTGTTCTGTCTCCCAGGCTGCCCAGCTCTCCACGCCCATTTAGCGAGTGTTGAAAAGTCCATACTGCAAGATTTTAATACCATGGAGATGTGCTTTAAAAGTTATGAAATCATATATGCTGGGACCAGTCTAGGAAATTCAGCTCTCCAGCATATATCTACTTCATATGTTTATTAGAGAATGTGAGAAAGGGAAGATTAGTTGAGTGCTAGACAGATGGTTTAGTGGTTTGATGACAACTTTGGTTAGTAGATGACAAAAGGTACCCAAAGAAGATGTATATCCCATTTGTGCAGATATGGTTCCACTGGCAGTAGAATCCTGGCTTTTAAACACAGCATAGCATCCTGTCTACAGGACTGCGGAAGCTACTCCATTGCTTGAAGTGTGAGAATAAAATGAGAACTGAGAAGGACTTATTAGCAGGCTGCTGGTGGCCACACATTTGCATTGCTCACCCATTATTCACTATCTTCTTCCACTGTTCAACTCAAGAGCCACAATGTTACAACTCAAAGGAATCTCGGGATTCTGGTCATCTTTACTCTTCATAAAAGCAAGCAAGGCTCAAAGGTGGCCTCTTGCCTGTGCCCTAACTTGAACAATCTACCCAGTTACTCTATGAGACAGTCTAGACAGAACTGAGATGCAGAGGCCCATGCCCCTCCAAGGTCACTCTTCTGTTTGGAAGTGAACTTCACAAGACTGGTGACAGTCTTGTGCCTGTCACCAGCATGCTTTTTCTGTTTTATGTTCTACACAGAAATATGAATCCTAGTGTAACTCCGCAAACCTGCAGAAGCATGGCACATCAGGAGAGCAAGTCTCAGGGATTTTATTTGGCTTTGTATATATCCCAGGAATAAAATTCTTACCCTAAAAAAATTAGCTGTCATTCTGGGTGATGGCAGTGTGGCAGGGGAAATCCACCTGGCTCAGTGTCTAAGTTATGTGCTGTGTGACAGAGGGTCTTAGGTGGCCGAGTTTGTCAGTCCTTCTTCACCGAGACCCTCATTTCTATGGTAACAGTGTCCCCCAGCCCCAGGACTCAGCCCCCCCCTTCCCTCCTCTTTCTGGTGTATCTTCTTTTGCTGTTCATAAGACAGAGGAAAATTGCTTTTTTCTCTTCTGCTCTCTGATTTATTCTTTCCTTCAGAGCCTCCATCTGTGAAGCAGTGCACCACTGACTCAAATGCAGCTAGAAATACAAATGTGGAGCAGCCTTGAATGGATCAATAAATACAGAGGGATGCAGTCAGAGACCTCCAGGCAGGAGCTAATGATGGAATTTTGAGTGGGTGGGACAGGGCCGTACCTGCATCTCAAGACTAGTTTCAATATTGCTTTAAATTGGATCCTTTAAAAGAACTTAATGGATTCAATTATGATTTTAATGGCTGGTATGAAAACACTCTATGAAATTAGGATGTTATATTTCATATAACACAGAGGCCAGTTCTCTACAGCCCTGCTGTGAGTCATTTGGTTTTTTTCACTGGATTGACGTTGTTTTTGACGTAAATGCAATGCTGCTGAGGGACCAGACCCAGGCGGCAGGGTGAGGAGGAATGGAGGTGCATAGCAATAGGGTCTACTGTGCATTCTGCTATGCCCCGAGACTCTCAAAAACGGTCCTACCTGGCTTCTGCTACTGTCAACTGAAATGCGTGCCATAATGAGGCACTTGGTGGCATCCTGAAACTTAAACGGTTTCTGCATATTATTCCCAGTCACTGCAAGTTCATAGAAGATGGACCCTTTGGGATTGGAGGCTGATGCATAATTGCATTCAGGTGGTAGGTTTAAGCATCTCAGGGAAGCAGTGTGAGATAGCCGCTACGAGAACAGACCTACAGCGCGAATCCAGAATGAGCTGCCAGGCCATAAAACTGCGCAATTTCCCTAACCTTCCAGAGGTCCCAGAGGAGCCTCAACTGCAAAACAGGAATGATAATGACATGACATAATCACTCTGTTGTTATGAAGATTAAACGCATTGATAGACCTCAAAGTGCTCAGAAGGGTGAACGGCCATAACAACCGCCCCACAACTGTCTTTATTTACTGACATCGAGCAGATTGGTAAGAGCAAAGCAGGTCATAGAATAACAGGTATGTTCGCTTAAAATAGTTAGAAAATAGCAACAGAAATCTGTCCCACTGCACAGGGAAACTGAAAAGATACACTTCTTACCAGATTCTTAGATTAGAAGGTGTGGGTCAGGTAGTACTTTAATATTTATAAATATGAAAGATTTTGTATTAGGCATTTGTTTTGTGTAATTTTTTTTGCACTTACATATTTGTGTAGTTAAAATTAATTTAAGAAGAGTAAAAACCACACATTGTCACTTTTTCACTTTGAGACATCTTAATTCCACCCTAGTTTGGTTAGCTCTGCTGTTTCCGGGTTGATATAGGCTAAAGTTCTCCCCAGTGTCTGCCTCTCCCACTGAGAATGCCATTGCTCTTCACAGATGTGTTGGGTCATCTATGGCATCTGGAGGCACAGACACTCCTGCTCTGATGACAGCATTTTGGTTAGGAACCTGCTCACAGGCACCGTCCACCCTGAACTATGCTGACAGGCAGGGGCTTCTTTTGCAATCATTTAAATATAAAGCTAAGAATCATATCCCAGGTCATATTTATGAAATTCTCTATGAAGCTGCTTTCTTACTTCAGAAAAAGTTTACTGCCATTTTCTAATCTTTTAATTAGGGTAACTTACTGTTTTATAAACTATGTTTGTCAACTGACGAAAGAATATGTAGGAATTCCTTTTCACCTCTGTACCCACAAATAGAATTTAAACCCAAACAGACTTAGAAATGCAGTTTGGTTTTTCATGCTAGTGCAGGGCTTTCTGGGAGCAGTTCAGGATAATTTAAGATGAGGCTCTGTATAACGGGCAGACAGAAATTTTGAGAATACGAAAGACTGAGAACTTAGCTTTAGATTTCAGGGAAACACGTTTTACACACATCAAAATTCTTTCATTATACAGTCTATGATTCTGACAGGAAAGAGATTCCGTCCGCATAGCCTAAAAGCCAAGGAAATGCCAATGTAGTCAAATGACAACTTGGCTGGGACTCAGAGCTCTGGGAGCAGAATCGCCAGGCTGCGTGTGAGTTAGGTTTACGGAGAGGGGATACATTAACAGCTTCCTTGACAAGCACAGGAAGAATTCAGATCTTCAGGCTTCAGTAGGAAGTGAAGCCCCTTACCTTAAATGGCTATTCAACTGTGGGACGACCCAGCTTCAGGTGTCAGTAGGAAACCTCAAGTGAGGGTGTTTATACCAGCTGAAGAGCGGTTCAAAGTGTCCTTAAATGCTTAGAATTCTCTTAATAACAGTCCTTAACAGCATCCCAAACACATACGCAATTTTAAGTCATGGTAGTTACTTAGCTAGCTTTTTAGTTAGCTAAATGTATCAACAGGAAACATGATTTAAAAATCCATTCATAGTGACTTGCAAGCAACATTTAAAACTATGTGAATTCTTCCTTTTTCTTTTTTGGTGTTTAATGCCACTTAGGATAAAAACAAACAAACACAACAAAAACTAAAAGCAAATATTCTCATGTTTTTATAGTTTCCTTACAAGAACTTATTTCTTACAGATATTGGACATAATTACCATATTGCAAATATTTTATATCTGCCCTAAAGTAGAACTTAGCCATAATTTGTGGTTCATCTCCTCCTGTAACAGGGCCTTGATATGATATATATCAAGCCAATACAGTTGGTATGTTTTTCAGAACTATACATAGAAGTGAGTTTTCTGGTCCTAACTTCAAACAGCTGTTTGTGTTTCAGTTTATGTCTCTGAGTTGAGTACAAGGCTTAGATTTCCTAGGTAGAATATTTAGTAGCACCTCTCTCCCAACCTTGAAAAGTTGAGCATAACCACGGGCAGCTAACACTTCTCTATAAGTCCCATAGCGCCTTCCTATCCTCAGACCCCATCACAGTTTCCAGCCTGCTCTTGTAGTCCACATTAACCTTAATATATTAGGCAGTCTCCTAATAATTCACTTCTATGAGGAATCAGACTACACACCTAAACAAAAGAAATGTGCAGAACATATCTTCCCTGTAAAGTTCCCTTAGAAAGGAATTTAACCGTATTTGGCTTAAAATGATCTCTACTTTTAGAAGATCATAGTCAACCCTGCGGTTCTATCAAAGTTAAACAAAATTGAAAATCCAAAGCAAAATATTACACGTTACATGTTTTTCTAAAATGATCAGAAATTTACTGAAAGTCCATTCTAACAGTGGCGTGTGTCTTTCTACTAAGCCAGCTTCTCGTGTCCTCTGACACCAATGTCCACCTCAGTAAAGCTGAGGGCTCTGGAGACATCCAGAGTTTATAAAGGCAGAATAAGAAACGTGAGCCAAGGAAAGCCACCATTCACATCTCCCCTCAAATGTCTCCCAAATCTATAATGGCTTGCCTACAGGCAGACTCAAAACTTGCACCAGCCTACTGCTCTGAGTTGCTAAGAAGAGCTACTTTTCACTTTCACTATATGCCAAGTAGTCAATAAATATTGGTTCCTCATTCATTTGTTCATTGTTCATTAAAATTTTCCAGAGTGATTACCAGTAATGTTTACTTTTTAATTACTGAGGTTCAGTAACATCTCCGTCAAAATATTTGTAAAGAAAATTAAAAATAATTTATTCACAAAAAATGACAATTATGAATGTCTACCAGATCATTGCATGTCTTTACGCATGACTAAAGAATGCTTGATTCTACTCCAGAATTTGCCCTGCCCCACTTTTGAGCTAAACAATGAGACAGCAAAGAGCAACTGCTACATCGCCTTGCATCTAATGCTCTTAAAGGAGACATTCTTTTTAAAATTTTTGCTAGATTTATTTATTTACTTATTTGTGTGTGGTGGACAGAGTGCATGTGCCTGCCTGCGTGTGTGTGTGTGTGTGTGTGTGTGTGTGTGTGTGTGTGTGTGTGTAAATTAGAAGATGATTGTGGGAGTTGGTTCTCTCCTTTCATCATGTGTCCCAGAAACCAAGGTTGTCAGGACTGGTAGCACCTTTAGTAGCTGAGCCACTGTGCTTGCTGGCTGAGCCATTCTTGATAAATAAGTACAAGCGTTCCCTTGAATTTTAATGACTTCCCATTTAATGAATTTTATCTTTTTTGGGTTTGTTTGTTTTTGTTTTACGAGACAAGGTTTCTCTGTGTAGCCTTGGCTGTTCTGAAGTCACTTTGTAGAGCAGGCTGGCCTCGAACTCACAGAGATCCTCCTGCTTCTGCCTCCCCAAGTGCTGGGATTTCAAGTGTTCGACACTGTACCTGGTGAATTCTATCTTTAATTATGTCTTTAATTATATCTTTAATTAAAGATTTTAAACCTTAGTTTAAAATTCTGTCGTCCAATGATGAAAGTGAATGTTCAATACACTCAAAACTCTTCCAGAAAATAAAATAGATGTTACAGTAAAGGTTTGGCCTGGTTCCAGACACACAAGTGTCTGAAGATTCTCTCAAATGAAGCTCAAGAGAAATGGGGTGAAGGGAATTTTTTCCCCCCACAGAGGAGTCCAGCGACCTTGGGAACTTCCTTATTGACTGAAGTATCTGATAAGAAATCCTTTCTTTTTACTAAATTTTAAATTCATGTTAAGCCTGATGTTTCCGTGTGTGTATACATATGTATGGGTTTTTCTCCTTTTTAGTTTCCAATTATTTTGACTGAAAAATCTTTCCCCCCTCTTTTGCTTGCTATTTGTTTTCTGCTTTTGAGACAGGTTCTTATATATCCCAATATAAACTGCTCTAAAAAATTAATCTACTATATTCCTTGTTAAATTCTTATCCACAGACTTCTGAGTTTTTTATGTATTCAATTAAAATAAAATATTAGTACAAATGAAAATAACAATAACCACCACGTGGGTAGGGTGTGGAGGGGAGGAAGTAGGGATGAATTTCATAAAAACAAATTATATTCTTTCATAAAATTCTCAAACATTATAACTTAAAACTCAGTGAATTATAATTTTGCTCCTTTCTTTTATCTTCTCGTTTGCTTACTTTGTTTGCTTCCTTTGGTACAACTTCCTAGAAATGCCAGGCTTTTAACTGAGCAACATTGCACACATTTTTGGTTTTAAAGGGAATTCCTGGTTTCAGCATTTGCTGCACATAGGAGATTTGACAGAGACTTTTATTAGTCTCACAGTTTCCAGTTAAAGAGGTTTCTTCATAGTTGTAATTATTATAGATAGATATTATTAACTGTCCATCTGTATTCACTGAAATAATTATATTCATTTTTCATTTAGCTGGTATGTGGAATATGAGGTTTTATGTTAAACCAACTTTGTGTTCTTTGCAAGGCATAAATTCCATTTTAAGTAATTTTTCTGGGTTTGCCTGGCTAATCTTTAATGTGAGATATTTAACAGTTCTTGGATCAACTGGGCTTTCGACATTGGAACCTTCTGAGTGAACTGATTTCCTTCTGAAGTACATCTATTTAGAAAAAAAATTCAAGGGGCCTATTGGTTAAAAAACAAAAGGTTCAGATTCTGCTTATGTGAAATATTTTTTTCCTTATTTTGTATTTTATTCACCTCTTCTTTTGAGACAATTCTTCCTGGGTAGCCCAGCCTGACTTTGAACACATGTCCCGGAAGCTTTTGCTTCCAGAGAGCTGAGCTGCAGGTCACACACTTCTTCCTTAGTCTGACAGGCACCATCTGAAGGTCAGTAGGTGGACAGATTATTTTCTCTTTATTTTTACATTTATTGTCCAGATGTCTTTTGGCCTCCACTTCAGCTGCTATCAGGTTTTTACCACAATTTTTTTTAATAATTTTATTTTTATTTCTTCTGCTTGGGAATATTTATATTTTTAAATCACTTGCTCTTTACTGCAGCAATCCTATTTCTGGAATCCCATCTAAATATTATAACAGGTAAACCAAGGAACAACCCATCCAGTAGTTCACTGTGCCATTAAGAAATCTTAACTTACTATCATGTACTTTCAATCTAAACTCTAGCTTTCTTAAACAGGGAGCTTTCCCTGTTTCCATACCTAGTTGGTTATAAATAATCTGAGACCAGTGACAACTATAAAATTTCACATCACTCTCACTTTGTGGTCACATATGTTTCAGACAGGTGATAAGATTCCAAGAGAGAAAGTACAAATGGCCATTTGGGATTTTCATACTTACATGGTGTCATGAGAAAAGAAAAACAAAACAGTGGGCTGGAGAGGTGGCTCAGTGGTTAAAAGCAGTGGCTGCACTTCCACAGGAGCTGGGTTCAAATCCCAGCACCCACATGGCATTTCACAACTGGCTGTAACTCTAGTTCCTGTAATGTCTACCCTCCCACAGATATAGATGGAGGCAAAACACAAATGTAAATAAAATACTGAAGAAGAGGAAGAAGAAGAAGAAGAAGAAGAAGAAGAAGAAGAAGAAGAAGAAGAAGAAGAAGAAGAAGAAGAAGAAGAAGAAGCCGCTACAACACATACTTGTCGTCTCAGTACTCAGGGTACAAAGACAGAAGGATCACAAGTTTGAGTCCAGTCCAAGACAGTGAGAGCTTGTCTCAAAACAGAACAAAAGCAGTGAACACCTAGAAAAAACAACTAGAAGGAGTGAAAACTGTTTTTATGAGAGCACATTCTTTGGCACGGCTGCTGCTGAGTCAACTGTGAACGGAGAAGGGGGCTGTGGCAATCGTCACCCTGCCAGCTCTCCCTGTCAGCTCCCAAGCTCATTTAAAACCAGGGCTTGTCTCGGCTTTGCTCTGTTCTTAGGAAAGTGACACAATTATCTGCGATACAGTTTACAGTCTTTTCCCTCCAACAATCAGCATTGCTGAAGCTTGCCAGGTAAGAGGACACAGGAGGCATAGTATAAGATGCACCATGAGGGACGTCCCTTGATGCTGTCTTTGTCATGTTTCATTGTTTCCTGATAGTTCTAGGAACTTTAAGATGAATAAAGCAGCTAACGACAACTTGCAGCCTCAGAGCTGCTCAGGGATTGCTGTCAAAGGACAGCTGGGATGCTCCAGGAAGTGTTTGCTGTCCACACTGCCACAGTGTGCGCTAAGCTGCAGCTGGAGTTAGGTACTGCGACAAGTACTTGACTAAGGTAACACATGCAATTCTCCTCTTGGCTCTGTGTGCTTTAGTCTTTCATAGGTTTTCTACTTTTCTAAGATAAGGGGCATTAAAGAACTCCATTACACTCAGAAGTTGGTACTTAAAGGTAGTAAGCAACTAAAGGAACAAGTACTGTGTGTGTGTGTGTGTGTGTGAGAGAGAGAGAGAGAGAGAGAGAGAGAGAGAGAGAGAGAGACAGAGTGTCAGAAGTCACTGTTGAGTCTCTTTCTTGGCTGCCCTCTACCAGGTTATCTGAGACAGTCTCCTACAGAACCCAGACTCACCCATTTGGCTGAAATGGCCAGGGATCTGGCCGACTCTGCCTGTTTCCGAGTACTGGGCTACAGATGGGCTGACACTCCCAAATTTTCACACAGGTGCTTGGGATCCAAAGTCAGGTTCTCACACGTGGGCAGCAGTTAGGTTAGCAACAAAGCCATCTCCCCAACATCAGCTATGAAGTTCTTCACGGAACCCTCCATATATACACTCTGTGGGAGATGATTCGGTGTTTTCTAGCCAGAAATCTGAGAAATATTTGCTAGCAATGCCCATCCCTTTGTAGAGATCTTTGCATTACTTCCTACACCTATTGGCACCTCAGGGAACCTCAGACCTGGTGGCAACAGTTACAATGTTATGAACAAATCCTTCATTTTTAGTGGAAGCATAAATTAGTTAAAAAAAAAAAGTCACTTTGATTTTAAGCAACTTTTCTCTAATTCCCTCTTTACTCTTCAGATGTGTATTAAATTCTACATGTCTCTCCCTTTCCCATTTGATTTCAGCTATCCCACAAATCACAGTTCTCGTTGTATAGTTGCCAAAACCTAGGATTCTCTTCCTACTCAGTAGCTACCTTTCCTTTTACAAGTCTGTGCCACTTAAAACACACCCGGAAACAGATATTCGGTGTTCATGTGACTTTAAATGAGCTCACACTTATCCCTGGTCCCTTTCATAGCAGGAACAACTGTGTGCCTGTCTAGGTAGCTCCCTCTCATCTGTCCAAGGCTTTCTTTCCGTGTGTTCACGGAGCATGCCTAACTGCCCTCTAAGAAAACAGACTCTAAATATTCAAAGTTGAAGTAGTATCAACTGCACAGGTGCTCAGGATGACATTCTGAATCTCAGGGGCTTTTCTAGGAAATCTACCCAAAGTAAGTTCATCACCTTCTGCTGAGGCGACAGCAGAGCAGAGCAGCCCTGGGCGCCACTGGCCTCCCAGGGTTTGGAAACAAGGTCGAGAACTCCTCCAGACCAGGGTCACCAAGGAAATGAGCAAAGGCAGTATGAAAGATCCTTGTTTTCACAGATGGGAAGAACCTAAGACGAGTACACCGTGTAAAATAGAGGGGGTTTGAGACGTGCTAAAACTCTTGACAAAGAAAGTATGAAGGGGATGGAGAGATGGCTCAGCAGGTAACCTGGCTCAGAGGAACCTGGTTCAATTCCAGCACCCACATGGCAGCTCACCACTGTCTGTAACTCCAGTTCCAGGAGAATTGACACCCTCACACTGACATACATGCAATACACGTGAAATAAAAATAAATTAAAAAAGAAAAAATAATTAGTAAATTTATTTTCTACTATTATGGAGAAAATAACGTATTCAAATATACTAATGATGAATTTGTGCGCGTGATCTTTAAATTTTAAAGTATTAATTAATTCAGAGGTAGGTCCTCACTGTGTCTCTTTGACTGGCCTGGAACTTGCTAAGTAGACTACACTGGAACTGCAGAGGTCTGTTTGCCTCGGCTTCTGCCCCGGGATGCTGGCTGGAATTAACACAGTACAGGCTTGGCCTTTTACCAAGCTTTTAATGAAATACCTGTGTTGGTTTAGTTTTGACAAGGAAACAGACAAATAGTGTTAAAGGATAATTTAACTGCAGGAAATTTTTGCCAAGGTTGGAAAACTAGGGTCGTTCTCAAAAAATGCCTTAAACTTCAATATCGAGAGTCACCCAACTCTTATCAGGAAGCTGTGTCCTCAAACACGGGTCTGTGTAGAGGAATGACTGCTTCTGCTTCTTTCCTTTCTGCCTCCTCTCCTCTCCTTCCCTCCCTCTTACATTATTTCATGCTGACCCAGTTTATCACTGACCGACTCCCGGAGCTGCCTCAAGCCCCAACCAAACAGGCTAAGCCATCCTTCCAGCCCTGCAGAGCTGGGAAGCAGAGGAGAGCTGGGCAGTCCTGAGAGGCAGCATGACAATCGTGCAGCTGCTGGGCAGGCGCCGTGATAAGGACTGCTGTTAGAGATGGCGGCCAAGGGTCTTCCAGCACTGAATGGGCTGTGTTGGCTCTACAGCCTTACTCCCTAAATCTCTGTGTCTTTGGTGTTCCCTAGCAACAGAAGCAAAAAAGATCAATTTAGAAAAGTGCTTTCTAGAACATTCCATCTAGCTATTTGCCAAGTCACTTTAGTTTATGTGATTAAGTGATTGAAATTCAAGGAGATTTGTCACTGGCTGTCCTAGGCTGCAAAGCCGGAAGAACATGGCTTGATATGTATACTACTAAAGTCAGGGCTGACAGGACTCCACCTCCACCACAAGCCGGCATCGCTTTCAGGAAGAATTAGTAGTCTCCACATCTCACAGTGAACTGACAGTGTTGCTAGGGAAACTGATAATTATGTGGCAAAATGGAGGGTGCAGAACAGAAAAAGGGTTCAGAAGAAATGTAAGGTTTTGATCCAAATCAGCATGTTAATAGTATAGTTTGTTGATCTTCCGTCATCATATAATTTAATAAATACCATTAATTATATGTTTGACAAGACACTGATTTCCAAACTGAAAGAAACGAACAACAGAGAAAGGCTACTGGTTACTGATCATAGCCTGTGTGGACCACAGCGAAGACCCCGTGGTTATGACAGATGGCAGTTAAACCTTAAACACCCAAAAAGCTTAAAAAAAAAAAAAACCCCAAACACACACTGGCTTTAATTTTAATGGCTCTCTTTAGACTTCAACTGGATGCCTTTCCAGGTATAAAAATCGGAGCTTCAATTGCTAATGTCCACTTTGCCTTACCCATGTCCACCCTGCCCCACCATCACATGGTGCCAAGCCACCGTGGTGGGCTGGAGAAGAGAGTGCTGTTACCACTTTTCTATTCTGCACAATGAGGCCCGTCCAGAGCCGCTGGGGACCCTCCTGGGGCACGGCTCTCCCTGGGCTGCCAGTACAGCACTTCCCTGCCAACTGCCTTGAGCCATTACTTAGAGACTATCCCTTCCTTAGGGACAACCCAGCAGAGGGCAGACCCAGTGAGTACGTCCAAATCTTTAAACACAAAGCTCATTTAAAGAAACATTTTCAATAATTCAGAAGTTACTTCTAAAGTAACTTTAATTTTCAATGATTACGAAGTTAATCCTCGGATAGAAGCAGGTGCTTATTTGAGAAAACCCTTACATAGATGAACATCTATATGTTCATGTGTGTGGTATATGTGTATGCATGTTTGTGTATATGTGAGCATGTTTGTTGGGGTCAAGAGTTGACCTCAGCTGTTGTCCTTTGGGAAGCATTAACCTTATTTTATTTTAGAGAAGGTCTCTCAGTGACCCTGGAGTTTTGATTCGATTCATCGAGGTTGGCTGGACAGCAAGGTCCCAGACCCCCTTATTTCTGCTCCTTCTCCTAGCACTGGGGTTCCATGTGCATGTGGCTGGGTATCACTCTTTACGTGAACATGCTGTGGATCTGAACTCAGATCCCTATGCTGAGTGGTGAACACTTTATCAACTGAGCCATTTCCCCAGCCCTAGAGTTTTTTTCTATTTTTTTAAAAATTTTATCTTTTTATATTAATTACAGCTTATTCACTTTGTATCCCAGCTGTAGCCCCCTCCCAATCCCATCCTCTTTCTCTCTTCTTCTCCTATGCCCCTCTCCAAGTCTACTGATAGGGGAGGTCCTCCTTCCTTTCCATCTGACCCTAGACTGTCAGGTCTCATCTGGACTGGCTGCCTTGTCCTCCTCTGTAGACTAGCAAGGCTGCTCCACCCTCAGGGGGAAGTGATCAAAGAGCCTGCTACTGAGTTCATGTCAGAGACAGTCCCTGTTGCCCTTACTAGGAAAACCCACTTGGGTACTGAGCTGCCATGGGCTCTATCTGAGCAGGGGTTCAAGGTTATCTTCATGCATGGAGTATCAGTCTCAGAAAAGATCCCTGTGCCCAGATTTTTTGGCTCTGTTGTTCTCCTTGTGGAGCTCCTGTCCCCTCCAAATAGGAGAGAAAGATCATGAAAAACATGAAACAGCTCAAAATGAACAGCGTTTTGCTACAAGGCATGGTAGCGAGTTGCGGATCCCTATAACACTGCTCTTGGGAAGCACTCTTCCTGCTTTCCACGCACTGCTAGACAGTCATGGAAAACAAAGCCACCCAAAGTCCTCCAATAGGAGTATTTATGTGTGCACATTTATTTTTTTACATTTGTTGTACTCCTTAAATGAAACACTCATTCCCATGGCTAGACACACAAACTCTGTGTATAGAATGTGGATGTGTGAGACCATATAAATGATGTGTGGATCAGGGTTGTATTTGATACCACCTTTTTTACTTATTGGAGTTTTGGCAAGATGGACATGGGAAGTACTGGTAGGACCCAAGATTAAAAATCAGAACCAAAGGGAACAGCTTAACTAATTGAATCTGGAGTGCTAGAAACAGGCAGCCGGCTTCCTGATGCCTAAGCAAGACATTTACTCTAAGGATGAAGACCAGGAGAATGGACTATTCTTTTCAATACAGTTTACTAAGCACCATTATTTATGACACTTGAAAGACAGCGCTTGGATTTGCCTTTAGCTGGAACTCTTTCATTTACATGGAAGCATTTATATTTGGCATAAGCTAAAAACGACAGGCTCTTGTCCTGATACCTCATAGACGGCAGTTTGAACCTTAGAATCTCCAAGTCAGAAGAGGAGCTTAAGTCCTGATTAAAAAGGATGCTGAGGGAAGGTAACAGGGATGTGAGGGGAGGTAACAGGGATGTGAGGGGAGACTAGACCAACCTTGACTTAAGCCGTCCTGACAGGATGTTTGCTTGACTTCCACATTCTCCATCATGTCTCCCTTCGAGACTTCCCCGGGAGACGTTCTTCTCTCAAAGATATTGTTGTTGTTGTTAACTTGGGTCCCATTTTGCTTCAGCAGTCGGAACACCTCAGCCTCCAAATCTCTAATCTACAACACAAAAATGGGACTCTCCAGCGCTCCTCTGGGTAGAATGCCCCCCCCCCCATCCCTGGCTGGGACAGCACTACTCACCCGCACTTGCAGGCCTTGGACTTCCACCAGGTGAGCCTTTTCCACCTCTTCTAGCTTCTTTCTTTCTACTTCCTGTCTCTTGATGAAATCGAGCTCTCTTAAGAAGAAAGTAACAGGTTTGTTCAGTTGTAGAGAACTTTCAATAAGTGAGGACGTGAAAACTCTTTCAGAAGCACTCAAGTACACAGGGGTAAACGTTAGAGTGATATCTGAATACATGAAACTCGAACATAGTGCGAAAGTTTACGTCAACAAAAGAAAAGGCATCTTTAATGATTTCATCGTAAGTATGCAAAGTGTTTGATTTTCCTCAGTATGCGGATCATCTGCAGTGCTGGTCTGGAGCCTGCGCACTCCCGTGCACAGGAGCTACTGCACTAACGGCCCCGTGGGGGATTTAATGGTGGTCATGTCCTGTCAGTAGAAATGATTCTATATTTCCAATGCATGAGGCCACAGATGGAAGTAGACGGTAAGAGCTGAAAAGGGGGATATGCAGTGAGAAATGAGCGGAGGGGCACTGGGTGAAGCCCTCACACCTCCATAGGGAATACTGGAGAAGGGACGGTCCTCCATTCTCAAAGTGAGTCTACCAACTTCTTATAGTGCGAGGCACGGCGCTGTTAGCAAAAGGTTGCAATGGTTCTGTACTGAATTTATGGTGAAAAAGAACAATTATCCTTGAAACATTTTCCTGGCTATCTGTTTCAACTATGAGAATATTAGTTTGAAAACAGGAAAGGAATCTGATGACTGAGACACACATACTTAGCTTCTAAGGCTTATGGCAAAAAACCACAAAAGGTGCTGGTGTCTGGTCTGGTGGGTCAGAAATCTCTTCAAACTCTCCCTGGGCACACTCTCCAACAGCGCATCAGGGCTGGGAGGGGGAAGGAAAACAACTGCAGCTTTCATAACGGGGCGGGGCGGCGGTGTGCCAGTGCGTTGAGGGTCTGCCTCACTGCTGTGGACGGGGAGGGAGGGGCCCTGAGAGCAGGCGGTGAGAAAGGCGGAGTGGGGTGGGAGATCTTGCAAGTCAGTGCTTACACCCTCTACAGAGGCAGGGTCTGTGGGTGCTGATTCTAAGAACAGACAGCGGCGGCCTGCTCTGGACCCCAGCTGCTCCTCCGTATGTAGCATGTCCAACTGTCAGCCAAGCATCCTGTACAACTTCAGCTACACTTCTGCTTTCTAAATCAGAGAGATGCTTCCAACGAGAACCAAGAAGGCTAAACGTTTTAATGGTTGCCATCAAACACAGAGGCGGAGTCAAAGGCCAGCACACAAAGCATGTTCCCATGAGAAAAAGTTGCTCCCCTAATCTCTTCTGCCTGTGGTGAAAGGGAAAGCCCAGCCTGTCCTGCCCACACCCCTAAACAGCATAAAGACGCTGGGACTTGAGCCTTCTTCACACACACGTCTGGATCATTAGAGAACACTTACTTTTGTTGAAAATCCTTGATCAGCTTCTTTGCTTTGTTGTATTTCTTTTCCAAGGCCTGATACTGGCTTTGAGTCTCTTTGAGATGCTCATTCACGGTGTGACATAATGTCTGTGCCTCAATCCAGTAGCTCTCCAACTTCAGCATTCTTTCTTTATTCTCTTCAATATTCTGTTGAAGTTGGTTTTTTTCTAGTTCCCACCTTACTTTCTCATTTTCTGCCGCTTGCAGCTAGAGAAAACAAATGTCAGGGCAAACATAATTTGGGTATGTCTGCAGCAACTCTCTTTCTACACTAGTATAGCTTGTTTTAAATAAAATTCTATTGTTATGTACAGTCATCAAAACAGCTTGAGATGAGAAGAGCAACAATTCTTTCCATACCCATAAAGGATAAAATGGAAAGCTTGAAAAGGGAACTGATTTGCTCAAGGTTACCCATCTGATAAATGATGAAGCACAAATCTGATTTCAACTCCCATGAACTTTCTTTAATACCAGGTAGTTTGAAATACTGCCAGCAGGAAAAAAAAAATGTCTAGCATATCACTGATTCCAGCCAATAAATGTCAACACATTTCCTTTGAGAGCATGTTAAATAAAAGTGTAGGACAATAAGTTGAAAATTAACTAAGATGAGAGCGGGGGTGGGGCAGGAGGGAGGAGCAGAAGCACAGGATGCCTTAATGGTTAAGAAGGGACTCAGCAGTCATTCGGCTCTCAATTGAGTTGTTTTCCTTAACACTTGGACAAGTGGTTCAGGTTTCTAAGAGTTAGCATCTCCTCAACACACCTGTGCTCTCCTTGCAACCCTTCCTGGGCATCGTAACCATTTGATAAGAGTCAGCTTCTCTTACTGTGCTTAACCCTTTGGAGGATGGAATTAGGTCCTTGATTTCAATTGACATAAACAGTCTGTCATTCATGATATAACAGGGAGGGTTATGCATGTCCAGATCTTTATAAGCCTTAATTCACACTATGTATAAAAGACAAGGAAAAGTAAAGATATAAATGGTTGCCTAGTTAACTTAAATCCCTCCAATGGGTCAGAAAGAGCACTGTGTGCTTTTTGTCTCGAGGCGTTCTTAGAAATATGGAGTGCAGTTTTCTCTAGACTTCTTGAATAAATTAGAGTGCAGGAAAGAGGAACCTAACCCAGCATTGCTCTTGATACAGAAATCTACAACTGATCTTCAGATGAGGGTTTACAAGGCACTAGCAGCAACCACCTGCCCTTCAAGTTGCTGCTCTGTCTTTCTCCGCTTTCAAAGTTACCCAAGTTCAAAATGACATTCTGAGATTATAGAGCATTGAACAAATGGAAATACGCATCCACATAAATATCTGTACTTATATATCACAAGAATAATTTTGTGAAAATGTTTTTACTAAATACATTTGGACAAGAGTTTACAAAGTAAGAATTAGTCCCAAACACTTTGAATGAGGAAATCTATTTAACATAGATAATAATCACATTACTGCATTTTCAAGGGTGAGTACTATGTACCAATCTAGGAAGAAAACTACAAAATAGTAATTTGTAGGCTTTTCTCAATTAAATCTTCATAGTTAAATGGCTAACGCTCTATGAGAGTGTTTATAAACACAGGGGCTCCTTTCCCCTGTCTATAACCAACAGTGTAAAAGATCTGCTTTTTAACATCAAGAAACAGTTCTCAGATAGAAAGAGCTAGGTTTTTACTGCATCTTTAATTAGACAACATTTTATGGCAGTTGTTTATGTACCAGCCACTGCTAACTGAAAATTTAAAATTCACAGTGCGAGGCTGACACCATGAAGGATGTGGAAACATGTTTTGACTAAAGAGCTCTGGAGCGTATTAGTCAAGAATGCCATTTAACCAAAGTAGCCAGCTAATTCATCTCCATTTAAAGCACACGGAAAACCCAAAACAAGTATTCACTGTAAATAAGAAAACAGATCACCAGTGGTGGGGAATAATTATGTCTTAATTTCGAAAAGATCATGGAAGCAGTACAGAATAGTTTGAAAGTAACTGAAAAATATTTTTAAGTCTCTGAAAATAAACATTTGATAGAACCAAATACAACAGCTAGAACTGTATCCTGTACAAAAATTTTACAGTTTACTTTGATGTCTTACTATTTCATAGAGATTAAAAATGTTCTTATTAATATATTTTTCTCTTCATCAAATTTAAATAATGCAAACTAAGTATGTCTCAAGATTTCCAGGAGCACCTGAATCTACATTAATTACACATTGCATAGAGTGGTTTATAATCTTTAATTCTTAAACATGGGAAGTTTTTTTCTAAAAAGTAATTAGTGTTCCACATTAAAACAACACATTGCTTCCAGTAAATTAGTTAAAATGATAGTAAGGCAAATGACAGAAAGGAGATTTGATATACCAGCTTGTACTTAAGAAATTAGTACACAGTTCAGATGCTTGAGCCATTAAAAATATTATTTTTTGAAGAAATTTCAGAGAGAATATGCATCAGTATAAATCTGTTTACAACAAGTGCCCTGTGGCTTTCACTGGGGTGCATGCAGGAACGCCTGTTCTCAGGGCAGGTCTGTCCATGTATTCAATGGTGGAAACAAAACTCTCATGTAAATATGCTCTCAAGTGCACAGGAGCAAAGCCGTTAGTTCTAGGCTTAATTCCTCGAAGTACCTGAAGTTTAAGGAGCACAATTCAAACACCACGGAGCGGTGCTTACCTTGGTCTTCAATTTTTGAATCTCTGCTTCTGTAACTGCGTGTTTGATTTGCAACTGAAAATTGAAAAGAAAAACATCTCAACTAAGAGTGTTTCTATATTTTTAAAGACTCAGCAGCGAGAAGAATATCGTATGGCACAATAAAAATCCTAGGAAACTGCTGCAATGCAGCAGGTTGTAAATTACAATGTTTAGCGTGGAAAATGACTCACAGGGTGCAAACTAATTAAACGCAGGGTTTATGGCTCACAGTCCCTAATATCCGATTAAGTTACCAGTTTAATTGCTCAGGGGTCAAAGAAAAGAAAACCCATTGCTTGGCCTCTGCGGCTCTTCCTTTATGATCTGAGCGTCCAGGAGCGGTTCCTTGCTGGCCCACCGAACGACTTGAGCCAGACAGTCAACAGGCCAGGCAGAGCGTGAAACTTCAGTCCCACATCTTGCAGAAAGGTGGCGCTGTGGTTCTGCGAGTCGCTCTCACATTCCGCAGAGCGTCTCTGCAGCAGAGGAAGCAGAGGACGCAGTGGCACAGAAATCTCCCGCTTGTCTTTGTTTTTCCTTTCTAATTCCAGGAAAGGTACAGATTCAGATTTCTGCCCCCCAAAATATCTACCTGTATGAAGACTCCAAACGCCAAGAGCATTTTCTTTACAGCACAATAGTCACCTTGGCCATTCGATTGTTTTGTCCCCTTCCCCCACTGTTTCTTTGTAAGGAGGGTCTTCAATGCGACAATCATTTCTTTAAGGAGAAAGCGCACCGTAACTTAAGGAAAACAGTTAATAGGTTCACTGTTTGTTCTCTGAAATCCCTTGGAAAGGACCTTTTTGAAATTCGAATCTCGCCCGGTTTTACAAACATGCATGCTCATCAGCTGCGTTTTGCCCACTTGGAGGGTCGGGGAAGGGAGGCTCTCTGAAACCGAATCCATGAACATTTCTCCCACACAGGTGAGCGTGGCCACTGAGAGAGGCATGTAAGGACCCTATGTGCACCCTGCTTCTTTTGGTTACATTGTACCCTAGTTGGTTTGCCACAAACTTATTGAAGATTACCACCTCCCCCCCACCCTTTTGTTGTTGTTGTTAGGCCTGTTCAGGAAGGGCTGTAACTGGATGCTATCACTACAACCAAGTACGTTTAATACAGTTGATCTAATTACAATGGGGAGTAACTTTTGCAGTCCACAGCGCCTCCTACCTAAATGGTACCTCCCTGGACTTTGTAGCATATATAAAGAAGGAAAGACTCAAAAGAGGCTGAACTCAACATCCAGGGTGCAAGTGACAGTCAGAGCCTGGGATCGCCAGGCTTGGTGCACTAAGGTGCTCTGTCAGGCCCTGCTAAGGCAGGCAGCCCTGCAGAACCCAACTATGGAGCATGACCCCAACGCTGTTTTCAAACGGGCCGGAGACCAGTCCACAGCGTATCTTACTTTCAGTCTTTCTGACCTGAAGAGCTCTGGGTCTCCTGGTTTCCTACAAACCAGAGTGATCCACCTCACTCAGCTGCCTTGAGCAGATGCCTAGAGTGTGAGGGTTCCAGGCAAAGGAGGCTACACCAAGCTGTTTCAGTGAAAATCCTGGCGGAGGCCTTCTGTGCTCACCAGAAGGTCTGTGCCGATCTTCTCGACGGCAATGCTGGCCACTCAGGCTCACTGCCCAGGGAGCCCTCTAACTATATGATCTGGATACAGGGAAACTGAGGCTCAGAGCAAAAAAATCAACCTGTCTACTTGTACAAGAAAATCAACACTAAGATGTCAGGGTTCAGATCTTGTGCCAGTTCCCTTAAAAAAGAAAGATGAATTTTTTAAGCCTCTATTGAGGAGGGGCTGTATACCAATTCTGTGAAGATGACAGGTCCTCTGTCGAATAAACAGTCATGCCAACCTCTCCTGCCAATACGAACTGAAACCACAAAAGGTCACAAGTACTTAGACATTGAAGATATTTTTCGTACACACCATGGAGACATCTATACAACTACAAGGAATTTTTTCCCAGCGGTATTATATTGTTAGAGAATAAAGCAAATTCATATGCCTGGATGATTTTTCCATCCACTATTAACAAAAATATCAGTATTTTGTTGTTTAGAATATACTAATATGAAATGTTAGACTGCTCAACTTCGTCACGTTTGCTGTGTGTATGTGATGTGCAGTGGGAACACTGCTTAGCCACTCCCCTGCACTTTTTGCCCATACACAATGCTCTTCCTCATGGTTTGTGACCATTCTTACTGCAACATTAAATGAGTTAGTCCATGTAAAGCATTTAAAGCACAATGGCTGACTAAAAATTATTTATCAATCAAGTCAGCCAGGACCAGGAAGAATCATCCAAAGCTCTCAGACACAATCACCCCATTTCACCTCCCATTTAACAGTGTAATTGACCTGGGCATTGACAACACTCAGACAGCAGAGTCAGGAGGATTGCTGCAAGTTCAAGGCCAGTCTGATCTACACAGCCAGTTCTAGGCTAACCAGAGCTCCACAGTGACATTCAGAAAAATGAACCAATAAGTGTCGGGCAGTCTACAAAGCCAAGTTGAAATAAGAACACAATTGGTTCTATCCAAAGGGTGGACTCTGCAATGAGCACTGTGCTACGGCAAAGGCCAGAAACCATTTTCTTTTTGATGAACTCTGGTGGTGTGAAGGTTTATGGCCTCCCACTTCGTGGGCCTTCAGATTTCTTTGCTCATATCACTCGTGACTTCTGTCTGCTGCTTGTCTGTACCTCAGTTTTCTGAAGGAAACATGAGAGCGCCGGATGGGAAGACTCCAGCTTCAACCTCATAATCCAGACACACGCTTATTGAAACAAAAATGGGCCAGGCATATTTACTGGTCAGAGTCTAGAAATTCATATTGCAAGCATCCTCCAACCACAGTAGCACTCTGAACTGCCTAACCTATCACAAGCATCCTCTCTCCTAATCTGAGTACATACTAAGTCAGTCCCCGTCCCATGAAAGAACCTATCATAAGCAAGCATCTTCTCTTTATGGCTGTACATGCTACGGTAGTACCCTGAGTGTGGACAAATCTGTTAGGGACAATTGTGAAGGTCCCACACTGGTCTCTGGTTGGCCCATTACACCAAAATGGGTAAGAGAAGGGAACCAACTTCACTCCAGTGGGGTGACAGTGACTGGTGAGAGCTTTGTGTTGGGAATTACATTAAAGTCTCCAGATACAGGGACACAGAATGAAATATGTGAATCTGGACATCATACAGAAGATAAACAGCTCTAGTGTAAGGCTTTCTTAGTTGACACAGGCCTGGCATTACAGATATGTGATTATTTCAGTCCTGGGTGCGATGTACATTCCAAAGACTTTTTATATAACCATCACTATTAGTACGAAAGGCATAAAACATATAAATCAAACCTTTTTAGTTTACACAGTAAAACACTGAACAAAAGACTTTAAATTGCAAAGCTAAGAGTTACCAAAGTCAGTTTGTGAACATCTCTGCTCATAGTTCTGTGGTCTTTTTTTTTTTTTTTTTTTTTTTTGTTTTGTTTTGTTTTGTTTTCTTTACATTGGCAGGAACCTTCATTTTTTTCTTCAGTCCCTCCTCCACCCCCACCCACTCCCCATACTACTGCAAACAGCTCTCTCTGGGAGTGAGCAGCCCAGGTCCCGTGCATGTCACTGGTCAGATGAGAAAGAGGCTCAGAGACATCACAGCGTGTCCTGGAGCTTCTCCTGGAAGAACGAGGTGCAGGAGAAACAACCCGTCCTGACTTCCCAACTTCTGCTTTTTCTGCCCTGCAGCTCATCTAGCTGAAACTGCTTCCCCAATGCATACCTCATTCAGTCTTTCTAAAAATCCTGAGGCTCCCATGATCCTGGCTACCCTAGATGAGAAATCATGACTCTCACTAGGCAGGCTCTGAGAATCTTGACAGAGAACGTACACTGACACGCTGGCTGCCGGAATGTGGCATTATCAGTTAAACCCAGGGATCTGAGGAGATGGCCCAGTGGCCAGAGTGCTGAGCTCCACTCTCTATGTAAAAAACCAAGAGTGGGAAGTGCATGTCTAACTAACACTCGGGGTGGAAACAGGAGGGTCCTGGGGCTCCCTGGCTAGTCAACTTGGCCCAGGCTGTGAGCCCCAGAGTCAATGAGAATCCCTGTGTCAATCAATAAGGTAGAGAGTCACAGAGGAAGGCATCCATGACCTCTGACCTCCATACAATGCAAGAGTGAGCATCTCCCACAGACATGCGGAAAAGAAACATAAAAAAAAAATAAAAAGAAACTTAGAATACATTCACTATTAGCTGATGTTAGTTAGTGACACTATATGCTGGGTATACAGTCCCTGAGGCCACATGAACATGGCACAGTATACCTTCAAAATATCTACTTGTAAGTCGGGCAGTGGTGCCGCACGCCTGTAATCTCAGCACTTGGGAGGCAGAGGCAGGCGGACCTCTGTGAGTTCGAGGCCAGCCTGGTCTACAAAGGGAGCTCAGTATAGCCAAGGCTAAATGGAGAAGGCCTGTCTCGAAAAAAGCAAAACAAAATAAAACAAAAAATCTACTTATTACTTCCAGAGCCCATGGCCTGCTGGTGATGTTGCAGGCATGGGCAGAGAACACTTGGTTCAGGTTGGCTTCACTGTTCTCCTATAATTAGGCCAGAGAGCCTTGGTCTTTGTCATCTTTCGTATCTAAAGTAGCCAAGACTGGCTGAAGACACCTGTTTCATAGGGAAGAACGATGTACTTTGCCAAAGGATGAGGAAACTTGGCAAACGCTGTGTGATTAGTAGAAGGTTGAGTTTTTTTCCTCTGAGCACTTCTCCAAACGATTGCAGACCTATGTCCTTAACTGCTGTGAACAAGCTTCACCATTTTCCCTGTCGGCTCTAACACGGACACCCCCAGCGTCCTGGGATTTCAGCAAAGATAGACGCACAATTCTACAATGAGCAGGAGGCCTCACTTCACACTTGTGGGCACACTGCTGTGTGTGGACTCTGTTTATTGCTTTCAATAAGATGAACGTGGAGTGCGTACATCTGTAAC